CATTACATTTTATTTTACCGTGGACAAGTCCGTGCAAAAACACCAAATCCTGGTCTATTCGACGGCTACACAACGAGTTCAAAAAAAGGCAAGACGATGCTCATATGGTGACCGGTGTGATACGCCCTGAGTGATAAATGCCAAATGCCTAGTGAATGCACGCTGAATACCCTCCAAGCGTTGAGAGTGAACAGCATATACAGGGTTCCATGTCACGCTAGTGTACTCCAAGTTACTTCGGACCAAAGCATTGTATAATATTTTACGGGTGCAATTTAAACGGAAACCCGGCAGTACTTCGCCTAAGAAAACCTAACATTTTCGAGGATTTATTTACAATGTTGTCAATATGTGAAGTAAATTTTAGGTGCTTGTCTACTATTATACCTAAGTCTCCTATTTCTTCTACTTCAGTTAATGTTGAGCCGTTTATTTCATAAGTGGATGGGAAATGATTTTTCTTTTTTGTAAATTTGATATGGTAGCATTTATCAACGTTTAGGGTCATAACATTTGATTCACACCATGTGTGAATACCGTTCAAGTCCTCCTGGATAAGTTTTATGTCATGGGAAGAATTGACTGTCCTGTAAATTTTTAAATCATCCGCAAATAGGCTGAATTTACAGTTTTTTTTGTGCACCGCTATATCGTCGATAAATATAAGAAACAACAACCTGGGGTCTCATACTGAGGTAAGACCTAAACAGTGAAGCAAACTACCATGTATCCCTTTCATTCGCAATTTCATTAAAAGTAGTGCGTGATTTACTTTGTCAAAAGCACTGGTAAACTGTGTACAGCTTTAACAGCTTTGGTAAAATCTGTGTATACAGCTTTGGTAAAATCTGTGTATACAGCTTTGGTAAAATCTGTGTATACAGCAATTTGACTTCCACTATCCACCTCCAGTATGATTTCAGAAATAAATGAGACCAAATTAGTCTGTGTTGAGCGGCCCCTGCGGAACCCATGCTGGTACTCAGATAGTGAAGTATATATGTGTGATTAATCAGAGACTCAAACAATTTTGAAAATGTAGACAAAATGGAAACCGACCGGTAGTATTTTACATTGCTGTTTCCCCTTTTTTGTACTATTTTTGCTTTTTGCCATTCCTCGGGAAACACACCATCTCTGAGCAAACAATTGAAGATCATGGTTAATAGTTGAGACAAAAGAGATCCACAGGCCTTTATAAATAGAGGAAGTATTTTATCAGGACCGGCTGCTTTCTGTATGTCTAATCATCTAATTGCTCTTAAGGTATCATTTTCAGAAAATTGAATATTCCATAAAATAAGTGGCGATAAATCCTCAAAGTTGTGATTTGTTTTTTCACAATTTGAACTGAACGTGGAAGCAAAATGTTTGGCGAAAAGAGTGGACTACTTCAGAACCAGATTCTGCAGTGGAATCGTTTAATTGCATTTTTGAGGGAAGAGTTGACTGGTTGCTACGTTTGTCTTTAGTGTATTGCCAAAAATATTTGACGTTATGCGATATTCCATTCTCAATATTTGTCTTACTAGTCACTATAGCGCTTGTCAATAAGCTTGTGACAGCGGTTCCGTAAGAGATCATGTTCTAATTTTTCACGTGCATTACACATCAACACCGGGAAAGTTGCTCATAATGAGATCTAATCTTATATCTGCCGTCCATGTTTGGTATGTTGTTAAATTGACTAAAGTTATTAAGAGACCTGAAATCAACAAGACCGCATACGAGAGTACTATTATAGTTAAATGAAACCATTGGAGCAATATGATCATGATCGCTACTCCAGTTAATGAATCCTAGATTAAAATCGCCCATAATTAGGACGTTATAGGGTTGGTTCGTAGCGTTATCAACTTTGTCAAGGAAATACGTCAAAGTATCTGGTAGAGGTAAATATATCTCGCAAATGGCAATATCCGAGGTAATATTGCCAATTTTTATTTGCACCGATACCCATAAGTCTTCTTATTTCTTGGTTCATCAGATTAAATCTTTTTAAACCAACATTAGCGCATAAAAGGTCGTATTTAGTTAAGCAAGCGGAGCACACCAGAAATTCTCTAGTTATGTTGTGGCGGCATCCAGAGCATTTATTTCCACCTATAATAAGCAAGGCTTCAAGATGCGCTTAAAAGTTGCGGATGAATAAGCCGTTAGCGATAAAAGCGCTGTGCCGTACGTCAAGTACACTGTGCGATGCGTATGTGTGCGTAGATGCGAGGCGGCCGCGAGTTGCCCTGGTCAGGGACGGCACTTAGCAAACGATGATTTTGAAAATGTTTATTTCTATTACTATCTATTATTCTCTAAGTGGAATTTCACTTGTCCAATGATGTTATTATTACAAAGCTTGCACTTTATGCTATAGAAACGTATATAGCATCAGGGTAAAGCTTTAATTCTTACACTTATTTTGAATGAATAAAAAAATGAGGAGCAGATTAAATACGTGTTGTTACTTATCGAATACTACGAGTATACTTTTTGAATATGTAAAAAAATACAAATAATTAAAATATGTATATATTACTGAAAATAATAAAGTAATTATTAGTTTGTTGTAAATCTTTTACTTTTGTTTGTTTAAATTAATGTTTTGAATTTGCTTATGTAAGAATTTTAGTGAATGTTTTATTTAATAACTATAATCAAAGCTTATTACGTCAGTAATTAATTCTTGTTTTTCAAAAGAAGCAATGATGATGATCTATAATCCTATTTTTATTTATTTCGGTTTATTTGATTGTACAAGATTTTATACAAATTTTAAGTTTAAATAGCATACAGATTTTAGCAGTTTCTGCTACAGATAAAAGGTTCAAGGCATCTGGCAACAATGGTGCAACGAAACATCGGGAATAATCTGTCTCATTCTATGCTTATTGACTATTCCCTTAAATGCAGGTATGCAGGTCGAACACGACCCCGAAGTTGCGTTGCTTGTGTAGTTGGCGTAGCACGTAGTTTCGCCGCTCCCTAATAGATGTCGCTGCGCCGCTCTTTAAGTATCGTCATGCGAATATAAAGGCGAGCATAAGGTCATACATAATAAAAACACCTGTAGGTAGAGAAATTTTGTTTGTAGTGATTAACTATTATATTGTGTAATATAATTTTTTTATTGGATTGGATCAAACTCCCTTGATCCACCCCCTGGCTATAAGGGCCTTGATTGCGTTCTAAAAATATCGATCAACTTAGTAGCTATCGGTACCTATATCGAAACCAAATAAATCATTCAAATTCATGACATGTATGGCTTCAAATAGATGTTGGTACAAAGTAGTTACCGTTACGGTCTATTAAAGTCCACTGATGAAAACAAGCCTCCCCATAGACCGCCTCATAGGGGGATATTTGTCATAGTTGCCACGCTTGGCAAGCGGATTGGCAGCCGCAGATTTTTATTTTTAGTCGTTATCAGGAAGACACTGCTGTCTATCTTCCGATTTGTTTACCTCTGTCACCTCTTACGACACCCACGGGATGATATGGGATAGTGGATATTCTTACACTGCCTCGACTCAGTACTTGTCGCTTACGCTAGATGTTTAAATACTCAGGTTCCGAACTACTTTCGTTTATAAAGAGAGAACAAAGATACTTAAACTTTAATGAACGGCACGATTTTCTTAGCCGTAAAGTCTTTTACTTCCTGGCCCATTATCAAATCGGTAGGTAGTTATTTAGAAGGAAATACTAAAGTTTAGTGAAATAAACAAAATGCAGTCGAAATAGGTTAATTAAAACAACCACATATCAAATAATACGCATTTTATTGTTCATCTATTTACACTGCCATATTACAAAATTTTCACTTAAAAATATTATTATGACTCACAATAACTTGTAAATTGGCTCTAGCTACACTTAAGAGATACGAAGCATTCTATTTTGACACCTTATGTAATAAATAACTTACGGAATAGACCCCAAGACTCCTGATCGACGTTCGAATATCGGTTTCCACAGAACATTTTTATTTCTGAGCAATGATGTTTCAAAGTATGATCAATATGTTATATACTTAAGGGTGTGATATTAAATTACAAAGTTATGTATTAAACGTCTTTGTAGTTTATTTGTAAATAAAGGTAGTTGGAAATAAAAACTTAATGCAACGAAATGATCTGCCTTAATTGCTGCGATTATTGATGATCCGCTCTTTTGGCGCATTGTTAATTATTTTTATAGAGACTACTGAAAAAATGCATTTTTATTTATAATCGAAATTAAGTTTTATAACGAATATGAAGCTCCAGTATTTTTTTTATTACGTAAACGATTTGTTGCTAGAATACACTGAACGAACGTGTTAGTTTATTAGCTTGTTTTAACGTCCTTTAATTTCAGTACAGATACGCTATTGATTAATATACTTTAAAACTATCATGTTTTAGAGTCGATAAGAAGAATTCATGTAACTAACGCTTTATCTAACACAAAGTATAATAGCAATTAGTAGGTATTCATTTCCATCACAGATGGAGAAATTATTTACATAAACATTAAATTATCCCTATCTAAATCTATTGGTATTATCCTGTTTTAGTTACACGAGTGCATATAACTGTCTTCTCTGTTGCATTATGCGTCGTCAAGCTACGTTGAGATTTGATTGTTTCATTGTAGATCAAAACAGTTGATTCTAAAGCGTGGGGTTATGGCACATTGTATTGTGATCACTTATCTAAAGCCAAAGGACAACTTGACCGATGTATATACAATATAAATTATGATTTTTGTACCAAATCTTTAACATTAAAATCGTTAAGTGTATAAAAAATTAATACTAATACTTCACATTTATTCAAATTTTTACGTTACAAAATACAACATCGAAAACACTAAAAAAATATAAATTTCTTACAAATGACCACACATCGCATATCGCAGTGCCGGTCTATATATTCTTGTTTATAGCATCAGTTCGTAATGATTTCTTAGTAGATCGGTCGTGACCTTTGGCCGTCGTTGATTAAGCTACATGTCGGTAACTACTTCTTCTTTTTCTTCCAAGACTCATCGGCTTGCATTTCCAGGAACTGCGGGTTCAGGAGACCAGCTTCCGCGCATGATTTACAACAGAACCTGGAAAATGGAAATTTTAATAATATAAACAGCCGGATGTAAATGATGAGGAGAAATAAATATTATTATATTACGATTATATTTGTCAAAGTCATTTTGTCTCTCTCTGTATTGAAGGGGTAGAGAAAACGAACACACGGACCTTGACCAAGTGTGCCAAGATGAAGAAGAAAAGACCTACAATGATGATATAATTTTTTATATTGTAACGAGCTTGAGGTTCGTGACAATAAAAATTGCCGATAGAATTACCTAAATTAACACTTTAATTTTCTTTACACCAATTAAAACTTAAAACACTAACAATTAATCACTCTGATTCACTTTATTCCGCTCCGAAGCTTCGCTTGTCTCGCCGAATTCAATACTTCCACGATCGCGTCTTGCAGCGCCTATAAATACAAATTAGCACCGAAACATCCAGAATATTCAAGTAAACACGCGCAAGGGACCGAGAGTTCGAATGTCGACTTCTAGAAGCTTAGTTCTTCGTTCAGAGACTAGATGGCGCTGTCGGTTGAAAGATTAGTGATGTCGTTTTCGGGAAAGCTCCCCTCACTCTCGTCCCCGACACTAGATGGCGCAAGTGCCGGGTACATGACGTCAACTTAGGCGCGTAACAATGCCCCCTCCTAAGACATGCTCGTCCCGAGCATTATCGGCCCCATAATAACGCGCTAGGCGATCCACATGGGCGATCTTAAGAGTCCCTCTTGCGCCTTTCTGTAACGGCTCCGCAATGTCAAGGCTGTCCTATCCCATGGTGCACCAACATTGTACAATTTCGATGCTCCTCTACTACGTGTCTGAGGTCCCTTCACGGCCGCACAACTTGTACATATACGACACCAATCCTCGACATGGTCACGATAATGGACCCAGTAAAACTGTTCTCGGACCTTCAGTAGAGTTCATTTAACTCCCACATGGACTCTTGAACGACCATTATGGCACAGCTGTAGAACATTCGGCAATTTGCAACAAAAAAACATTTTGCCTAGTACAATGTTTCCAATCTTCAGGACAAGGTCTTCTTGACCATGCATCTGCGTTGCCATGAGATATCCCGCTGCGATGTCTGATAGTAAAGTCGTATCCCGGCTGCTGCTGGGCGGTGATGTTAGCCGCACTTCCCTTCTGAGATCGTTCACCTTCCCTTTCTAGGGTTCGCTTAGGGCAGCTGGATCGAAGATGGCCCCTTTCCCCACAGCCATAGCACCTAGGGCTGTATCCTTTATTGTGCTCGCGAACCGTAACTGCTGCAACCTCACTAGCGCAAGGGGAACGACGATCCTGCCACCGCCAGGCGGTGCCGTTAGCTGCTTTAGGGCTGTATCCTTTGTTACAGTCGCGAACTGTAGCTGCTGCAACCTCCCTGACGCACTGGGAACGATGATCCTGCCGCACGACTTCCACCTCCAGTGCATGGGCCAAGGCGTCCCTAAGCGTCTCGTGGTGCCCGAGCCTCACAGCAGCTCTGACTTTCAGGTCGCGGATGCCGTCGACGAATGTCTGCACCAGGTTCCCTTCAATTAGCGCAGGTACAGACTAGTATGCTTTTCGAACCAGCTTCTCCACCTCTAGAGCCCACTGCTGCAGGTTTTCGTTGCTGCGTTGCACGAGATCTCTAAGCTGCGCTCGAAAGACGTGTTCCAGGTGAGCGTCGCCATATCTAGTCTCCAATGCCTCAAGGAGCTGCTCGTATGACACTTCTTTACCTAGAGATTCTAGAACAGTTAAGGCCTCGTCGCGCAGGCCTAGTGTGAGAGCAGTCATGGCCTGACTTTTATTCCAGCCGTTTGCCTTCATAACAGCCTCGAACTGGATTTTGTAGGCTGACCAGGAAGAAGTCCCGTCGAACGGTGGCACTTTGAACCCACGTAGCGAAGGTGTAGTAGCTACTACGGAAGCTGTAGTTCCATCCCTCAGTTTGAGTTCGTCCAGTGATTTCTTCATGTCAGCCATTACGTTGTCAACCCGATTGTTTACTTGGTCGATTCGGGTTTCAGCTTCCGACAGGCGGTTGTCATGTTGAGCAACCTTATCTTTCACCTCCCGTATCACTTTTCCGAAGGTATCGTGAAGGTCCTTCATGAGGAGCATCTGCTCTTCCAACCGACGGGCCTGTTCCTCTTGTCCGCCCCGCAGCTGCTCTTCCAAACGACGGACCTGTTCTTCCTGTCGGCGGGCCTGTTCATCCTGTCCGCCCCGCAGCTGCTCTTCCAACCAACGGATCTGTTCCTCCTGTTGGCGAGCCTGTTCCTCCAGTCAGCGAGCCTGTTCCTCCTGTCGGCGAGCCTGTTCCTCCTGTCGGCGAGCCTGTTCCTCCTGCTGCATTTTCAACAGACGGACCTGTTCCTCTCGTCCGCGCTGCAGCTGCTCCTGTAGCATCGCCATCAGAGCACCTAAGTCAGGTGCTGCAGATGTAGGAGCTACTGACGGGCCCGCAGCTTCCGTGGCTGGCAGTTGGCCCTCCGACGTCTGTGGCGTTGCACCACGAAATCTCCTATGGTCCATCTCCTGCTGGCGTTGACTTCGGGTACGGACATCCTCCGATTCCTCCTTCGGTAAAATCGGCATGATTTGATCCCACTTCTGACACCAATTGTTACGAGCTTGAGGTTCGTGACAATAAAAATTGCCGATAGAATTACCTAAATTAACACTTTAATTTTCTTTACACCAATTAAAACTTAAAACACTAACAATTAATCACACTTGATTAAAACTACTTTTACGGATTTTATCGCGTTTATTTTTGCTTTTAATTACTTTTATTTTTAATTCCCGACGTTTCGGGCGCTTTCCAGCACCCATTGTCACGGGGGACTGAGATGACTGACGTCCCGATGTCATTGTTAAACCCGGAGTACCTTCAGCTTTTTTAATTATTGTTTATGGTCCGATCTATGCAAAAGGAACTGACTATGTCCTGAGGTCTTGCAGTGGTATGCTTGGGTTTAGTTTTAATCATATTGATTATAGGATCCCAAGCAGGTGGTAGTACCCAGCCTCCTTCTCTATTGAAATTAGGATGTTTTTTAATTTCAATAGCCTCACGTATCATCCTTGGTAGGAATCGGTGTTCTTTCGCGAGGATTTATGGTCTATCAAATCTGATGTAATGGTTGGGGCCGTCTAGGATATGATCACAAACTGCAGACTTCCCGGAACGTTGATGCTTTACATCAGCTATATGTTCTAATATATCTTATAAGAAAAATATATTTTCTAATATATCTTAAAAAAAAAGAGCCATTCCATCTTAGTCCCCGAGGACTAAGATGGAATGCCTCGTTTCCAGTGAATAGGGTCTCCGGTTCTCTACACTCAATACACAAAACACAGCAGCATTTATTCGTATTCTGTGAGAGCGTGGTCCTTCCCCGGTCGAGTCGACCTATACGTGATACAACCATAATATAGCTGCAGCGTTGCCCTACCATGTAAAAATGATACAATAGAGCTCGCAGTTAATAACAAACTTTGAGGTAGGTAGTAAAAATGGTTAAGAAAATGTAAACTTATAAAATTTTGATGATTGAATTTCTCAGGTTTCGAGTATCATGTAGAGTAGTAGAGTTGAAACGCGACTACTTGTCGCAGATTGTGAGTTCGAATCCCAGTCTTAATCAATATTTATGATTTATATAAAAAGACAAATTATTAGTATTAGAGTTTGATGAGAATATGAATGCCTCCGTCGTTCTGACACAGGCAAGACGAACGAGTGTTTCTGCTGAGTGTTGCAGAGGTTAAAATCAACTGAAAACATTGTCATTACTTACTTGGAGTAGTACTTGTGTGTGCAGAATTTGCCTCGCACTATCAAATGGCAGTTCGCGAAGAACGGGTTATCCGTGCACCTCGGCGGGATGTACAGACCTGGAGAAACAAAGCAGTGCTAAAATATTTTACCGTGCTGGCTTAAGGAGGAATTTCTAGAGAGCTCAAAAACAAAAAATATAGAAAAAAATATATGAAAAGGACGGAAATATCATCAGAATTAGTATACGTATGCGCACACCTGCGTACTTCCAATAAACCACAGTACTACCTGCTGTAACTGCTCATCTGAAATTCCCATGGTGTTGAAATTGTTCATGGGCGGCGCGGCGGTGGCCATTTACCATCAAGGAATTTCCACTAATAGTTAACCATTGTTCTTAAGTAATAAACCTAATTTAAAAAAAAAACTGCGGTTGTTCCTGGATATGAGGCAATCTATAGGAGAGGCCTGTGTCCTGCAGTGGAAGGCTGATGGAGAAATGACGTTATCGCTTTATATTCATCTCGTAAAAGTCAAAGTTACCTTCGACGTTGATCTGCACAGTGGACGAGTGCGAGCTGAAGCGGTTCCTAGCGTGGCAGCCGTACACGCCGCTGTCGTTGATGTTCACTGACGGGATCGTTAGACGGGCTTCTGCGGAACAAAATAATTGACGTTAGTTGAATTGATACCATATAATGGGTATGTTCCAAAATAGAACCCAGTGTACTGGTCCAATGCAACTGACGTCACGAATCGACGCCATACTGGTGATTCGTTCCAAAACATAGGACAGGGCCTAAAATATAATTCTTTTTCTAAGTTAAGAATATATGAGTAAACATATACATGTTATTAAAAATTCATATAAGTTTTTAATATGAATACTTTACAAACATATATTAAATTAGGTATTCCCTAAAACTTTTCCTAAAAAATATACTTACTTCTACCTTTTTCTGCCAAACGCACCCAGTGTATGACGTCGTACATTTGCGCTATATTGGAAAAGTGTTAGCGATTATTTTGTCATTTTGTGCTCCAAAAATCATTATATCTTCCTAATGGAGATATCACCAATTATTATTCTATAATTTTTCGTATTTGAATAAATAAAAACAAATTCTGGTATGCTTCATTCCGTACACACAATTAAAAATTGTTTTAATATGGCCAGATATCTGACACAATATGGCGGCGGCACGACAGTACGGCGTCAATTGATGACGTCATTTGTATTCGGCAGTATACTGAAAACGTTTCGGAACATACCCAATATATTTTTCTAACCTCCATGCAATATATATTGGCAATCACGACATTTGATCTTTAGAAACGATAAGAGATAAAGTATATCTAGCGATGGATTTATAATAAGGCACACTAGGCCCTGGCCTGAGGTATCGCCGCAGAGGGCATCGATTATTAAACTTCCGATAAAAACTTAGATTTATTACGAAAAAAAATGCATGTCATTAGTTTCACATAATAGACATGTATCTCTCGCTAATACACGTGCACTAAATGCAATAAGATTTTATTTATAATGAAGCATAATTCAAAATTGAAAAAAAAAAAAAGATTTTTTTAAATTTAGCGATCCGTAAATTCGTATATGATATCAGTAATCGCAATATCTTTTTTTTTCATATTGCACTTATTTTCATTTATAACTATGCAATTTGATAGTCAAAAGGAAGTAGTAGTTAGTTGTATGGGATGCCAAAAAATAAAATTAAAAAAATTAAAATATAGGGAATTGTAACTATTTTACTTCAAATAAAAAATCAACATAAAATGAAAACACTTGGACACCATTTGTTAGTAGCCTTACCAGTAATCTGCATTCGATCGCTGGAGGACAGAGGCACTCCATCCTTGGTCCAGTAGACGTCTGGCTCCGGGAAGCCGTCCACCTCACAAGGCAGCAACAACTCCGCGCCCGCAGCTAACGTCGTTTGTACCTCGAGGATGCGCGTCGTCACCGGCACTATATACATTGTACTATTTAGTACACTTAGTTTACATTTCAAAATCATAGGAAATCTAAACATTAAAAATCTAAACAGTAAAATTAATTAACTAACGCGCTAAAAGTATTTGCTGTAATATCTTTTAAAACAGCTAAATATACAAATACGAGTTTTGAATTAAAATGATTAAACAAGAAAAGGTTTATTATTTGGTAAGAACTTATATGTTTTAACCGCAAAAGTAATCTATCAATACTATTGAATATTAATAATATAAAGTACCCACTACTTTTAATTTAACGAGGATGAAGAGAGGCGTAATATTGCTAAAATGCCAACTTCTGTTGGTACATTTTGGTTGTCATAGAAGGTTTGGCCGTGTAAGGAAAAGGAGACTTTCGGCTGAGGAAGATGGTGAGCCCTGGATTTACAGTTGTTTCTCGATATCGAGTTTTAGGCTGCGACTTATTTATGCTGTCGTGGCGCGAGGACAGTGCCGCCATCATGAATAATAGCGCTATCTATCCATTTGAATGTACTTCATTCAAATCCCACAGACTTGTGACAGTAAGATAACAGGGACGGACCACTTACCGTCAGCGCCGTGGACCAAGATTTTAAAAATAATAGATTAAAAAATAAATTTTTTTCGCTATCTAAAGTCGAAAATACTCAACACAAAAAAGTTGGTAAGCATAGCTGTGCACCCACGCACTAAAAGAGCCTCTTAAGCTTGAGTCCGGCCAGAAAATTTGTCCAAAATCGTTGAACCTAAATTAGGTACTCAGATTGGATGCCAGTGCTAGGGGATGTTGGCTCTGCGTTAGCGGTTAGCCAGCCCGCCCAGTGTGGTTGAGTACCTTATATTCTAATCTTCCAAGTACTGCATGCCAGGTGACGCCTGTCGCAGGCCTATGCCATCAGTGGACGTTGCTACCGATGATTATTATTTAAAAAAGCAAACAACCTTTAAATAAATGCAAGATAAACATACTTTTACAATAAACGTTCGACTTTGGAGAGACACATAATATTTTTCAAACTCACTTGTAACATGACAGTAAATGCATTTTTCTCATATAATAAAGCATAACAAACCACCAGCGCATACCGTGGCTATTTATATACACAGATTATACATTCGAACAAAACAAAAAAATAATATATAAATAACAAAGACTCTGGTAGTCGCAGCTGGTGATAGCGCTGGTTCTTTTCTCGCTCAGAGGCTAAGTATAGTCATTCAGCGAGGAAACGCATCCAATGATCTTGATCCGATACCACGGGGAGTTAAGTACTGTATGATAATTAAAATTTTTAGTTTTCATTTTTATTTATAGTTTTTTGACATTGTGTGTAACTTTTAAGATATATTTAATTTTAAATTATTAAAATATTTCAATAACAAATAAATTTTTTTGGTTCGCCGCTCACTTAGGGGTCAGTCACCGCAGAGACTACATCACCTGAGGATGCCTTGAGTAGAGGCGGAACACGTGTTGTATTCTCATCGACGGTGTGTCTTTCCTAGTATAGTGGTGCTGGGATTAGATGTGACGGGATTAGTGCACGCAATTGAGGGAGGGCGGGAAGTGCAATTAAATCTTGGTAAGGCACATCATTTTATTTCATTGAGCGGATATACGCAGGGTAATTATTACTAGAGAAGGGCCGAATATGGATTTCACCGAATACGAATACTCGGCCGAACATTATTCGACAGGAACACCTCGGTACCTAACCAATTTATGTCGAAACTTATTATCGTAAAGCGCGCGGGATTAGTGCCGGACCCTGACCCTCGCCTGTTTTGACTATTTTTGTGAGCAAAAAGCATTTCTTTGTGTAATTCTTAGTGAAATAATTATATGATAAAATGATGATCTTTGTTTGATTCCAAAAACATTTTATCAAGCTTTCAATATGCTATAATTAGAAATAAATCTACAGTGTCTCAAAAATATAATGCTATACAAGTAGATTTAACCCATAAATAAAATACACTTTCTACAGTAAAATTATGAAAGACATAGCATTACTCAATTCGTACATTTCAATACAGTGGACACCGACTACCACTTTAACGAATGTTCGGTGATTTAGCCGAATATTCATCTGAATACGAATATGCCGATTACCGAAATGAAACGAATATTTGGCGCATCTCTAAGTCTTACCAACTTTAATATTGCTATCGTGATATTCCTTTGTTCACTCAAAATTTATAAAATTTTAATAAAGATTAAAAAAACAGACTTCATATTAGCCTATGTAGTGGAGGTGTAAGATTATCCACTAGCCTCACAGAAATCTAATTATTTAGATTTAGAAAAGGCGACAGGGGAAAATTAAAACAGGTGAACTCAAAATATTAAAAAAAAACTGCACTTGACAACCCTCTCGCCCAGCGTGTCTACTTCGGCGAAATCCCCCCTGTGCGGCAATCTATGGGGGAGGCCTATGTTCAGCAGTGCACTTTTATAGGCTGTAATCATGGATGGATAGATGGATTTCAAATTACTATACACGTCTAAAACGTAGTGATCATAATATAATCTTTGCACACACAACGCCTTGACATCGACTTCGGAATGTGAAATTATTTAATAATTTTTCGTTTTTTCTCTTTATCATTTGTAATATTAACTGTATTTAATTTTTCTTGAGATATTTTACGTGATGCAAATATTGTGTCACCTTTAAGGTTCAATAGCCAGAATATTGCCAATGAGCAATGATAATAAACACATATAAAATTTAGTTATCAAAATACGGAAAACAAACATGCAAAATCATGCAGCATGCACCACCACCCAATTAAAATTAAAATTCGGATGAATAAATAAGGAACAAATCCTTATCGTTCTATCCTTGATAGTAGGAACCCCTGTTCTTACCGGTATACACTGGTACTTCTACTTCCGGAGCTGGCGTGGTCGTCGCTTCGGTAGCCGGTTCCCTTGGCGTTATTAACACCGTCTCGTGTCGGTCTATCAGATATGGATTTTCGGACTTTTCGCCTTCAGGTCTGTATGCCTTCACTACGACCGACCATGATGCAGGTTTTCCAATGCCATTGTACGCTTGACACGCGTAGTCTCCCAAAGTGTCAAGATCAAGACTTCGTATCTGGAGTACATTTCCTCGGGCCTCGTAAAGGGAACTGCTGTAGGGTACCATGGGGCCGTACAGCCCACGGTGCCAGAAGATTGATGGTTGCGGGAAACCATAGGCCATGCAGCGGAGGTTCAGTACGTGGTTCAGCTCGCCCATGATCACAGCGTCCGGTTCACCGGCGATGCCCGCAGGACTATCAACGGGATCTGCCCACCCCAATTGTTAGCGTCTACTCTACGAGGGTTTATGGGTGCTCTCATGTGATGGTATTGTGAAAATGAAAGAGTATTTTTGGCAGTGGAAAAATTCAAGTTTTGAATAACACATGTAAACAACTTCCGGTCAAATAATAAATTTGAAGCAAATAAGAAATATTCCAGGAGTTGTGATTTTAATCAATTCAATAACTAGGTATAAAAAAGTTTAAGTTTACAAGTCTAACCTTATTATTATTATTTAAATAAAACATGTAGAACCTCAGTCATGATGTTCTAAAAGAAGATAACAAATGTCGTAGACAGAGAAACCTATAGACTAATGATCGGCGTGGCCTCGAGTGCGAAAGAACGATAACGAATTTTTAGGTTATAGAATAATCTTTATGACTTTTAAACACATTTAGATAAAAATTTTCATTGTTCTAAGAACTGAACTTAACAAGATTCACCAATCTTAAGCTCACAAAACACTTTTTTCTCACTTAAACCAACTTGTAAACTCCTTAAATCGCTACGCTGTCAAAGTTGTTTAGCAAACTGTAGAGTTTGCTAAACAAAAAAAAAACCGGCACGGAGAAAGGGACAAACAATCACACCGCTCTATCTCATTTCTATGCAAGACGTATGCATAAATCTATCTTTTTCGTGTGCGAATGCGAAGGAAGGCGTCAATTTGTCTATAGGTTTCTCTGTCTACGACAAAGAAAGTCTATAAAAAACTAAAACAAATACAAAATTTATTTAAAATTTCTTCTGCCAAAAATCTTGATTTAATCATGACTGATGTGGCGAGCGAACCACAAACCCGAATGTTATTATTAGACCACAATTTTTTATTAAACCCAAATCTGTTTTGGAAAAACCTGATCTATTTTAACTTCATAATTTTGCTAAATATAATTTATATCATTATTGACCATATCGTCGGATCCACATTCATGTGGAAACACAAACATTATCAACGCGTTACTCAGTTCCCACACTTCTCAGAACACTTATCGTCGGGGGTTACACAAACTTCCCGTGCTACTTATCGGAAGACCATTCAGCATTCACGCATTGAAGGTAGGTATAGCATATCGCCAAACGTAGTTGAACTCCAAAAAAGCTTTAAATCCAAATTAAATAAAAATCGAAAATACCGAGCTGTTGACCTAAACTATTTTTAAAAGTTATTCTTTATCTACTAATATTATTGTTTATTTAGGGTTCCGTTGTCATTCAATAAGTGCCCAAAATTTCTGTAGGTTTATATTATGGAAACTATAGTAAACAGATTTTTTAAGATGTTAATAACGGTGCTTATTAGATATCGTAAAATAAAACTTATAATTTAGTTTATAGAACGGCAGCTTCAATTCTACTTTAAATTGCTAAAAAATAAATATTAAAACTTGTAAATTTAAAAATTAGCTTTTTCAGTACTGAATTACTTTCTATAGAAAGTAGACGAGCACTTAATATACAAATTGTATTAGTAGATTTTAAAATGTTACATAAAACCCGCTCAGCGGAACCCACAGAAATCTAATTATTATTTACATTTCTGTGGCGGAACCCTATCTTAAGCGTGCATTTGGCCATGCAGTTTGTTCTGTTTTATTTTGAAATCTATGAAACTGCATATGGACAAACGGCCAGACCCGGAACAATTATTTATAAGTCATACAATATTTAGATGCTTTGTGCGGGACTTGAACTCGCGACCTAAGCCAAACACTTGTCAGTTTCGCTACCGAGCCGTTTACTATAACTATGATGTAAAATTAGGATTCTATTATGCGTACACTAAAGGAAAGTTTGTGCTTATCCCTTTTTATCTAATATTATATAATATAACGAACTGTCTAGTATAATAAATAAAACTCTTAAATAAATATATTTATATTTAAACTTCAATTAATAAAAACAATTTGAAAGACGTGGTAAGTCCAAAACAGATTCGAGATATATGTGAAAAATAAAATAAAAAATGCAACCTTCATTCGCGCAAACAACAGCTAGAAGACACAGCGCTGATGAAATACACCGATACATAGTTTCTGGTCTAGATTTACTGACACACTTGTTGATCACATGAGATATAGGTCCCGACTGAGTGATCATTATGCTTCATTAGCGACTGGGGTATCCATACATGCTAATGTGTAGGGACTGTCAGGAGGAAGAATATTGTTTATTTTCTAAACAGATTTTCATAAAGTCACAATCTTTCGTTCGATAATTGCAATTAATGACATGTTTCCTTCAATCTGTCTTCATCAGGCCGTAAACGTCCACAGCTGGACACTGATCTACTGTTTAAATTTGCGGTAACCTAAATGTTTCGCACATTTGAAGCTTGATTTTTAATTATTTCTAAGGGTCTCTATTGTTTTTTTATTTATATAATGTCCTTCAGACCGAATATCGGTTACGACGGCCAGTCTCAACGGAGACAAAGCCTAAATCTGCGCAGCCCAAGTGTATGCGCAAGCACAGGTGCACTCTATTCCCTTACTCTCATAATCCCATGGGACGAGAAAACTACGCGACATGGTAGAGATCAGTCGCAGGACCAACTTCTTTACGTGCTTTCACAGGCACGAGGGTGAAACACCACCCACTATTCTATAAATATAATATAGCACCGAAACAATTGTGCACACACTTTACTTTAACTTAGCACTTGAATTCGCAATTAACAACTATATTATATATTAATATAATTTGTCCTTTAAAATTCATGATTAATGGACCCACTAACTAAGAGGGGTGTTTGCCTTCAAATGAAGCTTAGATAAACGATTGTTGACTGCAAAAGATTGCACCGTGTCATAATATATTATAACAGTGTTTATTTTTACCCATTATTAATCTTGTCCTATGGTACGTTATGTGCTCATAAAATTATTTAGGCCCGAAAAATTTGTCGGTATAAGAGAACGCACTTAATTCCATTGGGCCGGGGTACAAGTTGAAAATAGGGAATGGTAAATAAATTGTCTGAGATATGGTCCACTAACTGGATTGTGTACATTATGTTAAAAATCCAAAATTTTATAGAAAACTATAAAACAAATAAAAATGACGTATATAAAAATATCCGAGACTGTTATACCGGCGTCTTCCGCGAAACACCCACGAGATGTTTTGATATTTCTCTTTTTTCACAACTAAGGGATTAAATAGGTCAATTGGTTTCCTCATATCGGCTCAACAAGGCTTTAAAACGTAGTTACAGTAGTTCATATTGGACACTCATTAAGTTTAATAAAAGTTTCTATATAACGATGTGGTTAGCATTTAACTATTATCGCAGAGGTTGAAAGGGCAAAGCCATATAAACTGTTTACAAATAGCACGTTAGATGAATGTGCACAAACAATAAACACGGACGCGACGTAAGCTATACAAGTTAGCTAATATACAAATGTTGATTATGAAATTCTCGTCCATTTCGAAAATAGCGACATCTACTGGTTTTTGCTTTTGCTTGAACTCTTGAACTATTATGTATTCTGTGGTTAAACATAAAATATTGTAAATCCGTAAGACGCGAAAGAGGTTTTTTTGTGTCTAAAATACCGCCTACTATATAGTAACTACTAACTCGACCAAATGCCGCATTCAGCGTGAGTAATACGAAAATTGGCGGCATAAAACCCCATTGCCCGATTACGTCCGTAAAAATTGACTATAAGAAGGTTAGAAACTTGTTAGAAATATCCATAGAGAATATAACTATGTGGGTATGTACGTCTTTGAAAATATCTTATGACTACCAACAGAAGGAGGTATAATCATCTCATTTAGTCCTGATGTAAAACGTTAGCGTAGCACGCTACGGGTACGGGTCAAGCTTGACTAGCTAACACTCCCTACAAATTACAAATACCGGTGAAGAAGGTAACGGAAATAATCGCAATGATCTATAACCGATTGCATACTATATTAGATGATGCGTGTTCAAGTGACAATTTGAGATGCCGGTCCCGGGAACGACTCTTACGCAAAACCACAATCCGTAACATACAATAAATATTACCTGATATATCTTTTTCATATATTTCCGTGTACTAGCAATTGAATAATTTAAATAAAGAAAACGTTGATATGAAAACGTTTTATTAGATTCTCATTGACTTTATTTATATATAACATATTATATAAAATATATCAACAGACAACAAAACAATTATTGTGCAGTTCACCAATCGACAGTTTGTTATCTCTTCAAAAGTGTGTCAACAAATGTCCGTATAATTTGGCCAAATCCAGATAAGGGCTTAGTATTCAATTACAAACAAATAAATCGCAAATGACGCTGTGTATTCTTGCCGAAGTCAACAGACAAAGAAAAGTTTTAAGAAGGATGCAGAAGAGAATGCTGTCAATTACACAAAGAGAGGTGTTAATCTACTTCTACGAGATCTAAACTACGTGTTATTATATTAAACCAAAAATACCTGAATTATATAAAAAAAATCTATAGATTTGCACGTCATCGATAAATGTACTTTTTGTGTATGTTAATTTCAGTAAATAAATTCACTGAAACATAGCGAGTGTAAGGCATCTAATTAGGTTCTATTGCCGTTATAATGTCAAGAAGATAAAGGAAAAAGTCATACTTTATATACTATGAGTTATTAGTTAACTATTGACAACAAGGAAACATCTTTAACAACCGACTTCAAAAAAGGAGGAGATTCTTAATTCGAACGTATTTTTTTAATGTGTAACAAATGTGTGTAAAAAAACTTCAGAACTTTTTCTAGGAGAGCCGATATGATGAAAGCTAGTGCTTCTCATGTGGTCCCATATAATTTTTTTTTATCCTAAATAATGCGTACTTAATTGACTTCGACTACATTGATGATGTTCTCATTTTATTTATTTTGAAATCGGTTGTATAATTTTTTTAATTTTACCACTTGTTTACATAAATTTTAGTACATCAAGATAAATTAATTTAAAAACCACTCTTCTGTATTGTTTATTTTGGCGATAAAATATCAAGAAGATAAAGGAAAAATTCGTACTTTATAATATCAGTTGTTAGTTAGCTACTCACGACAAGGGAACATCTTTTTTCTTCTTATGATATGCTGTAATAGTCCATTGTGTATACTTAAGGGCTCTTCTCAATATAAGAAGGGATAGTGGGGAAAGTTAAATAAAGTTATTTTTTATTTAACCTTGTACGGTTTACGGACTAGACAAATAAGCTAAATTTTTTTATAAATTCGCATTTTTCATTGATTTAAAAAAGGAGGTAATCGATTCATAGAATATTTTATGTAAAAATTATATGTAATATGATATCTCGAAAGTTGGTTAATCGAATGATTTACAGATACCGAGTATACAACATGTAACATAATTAACGCACTTTGAGAAAGTAGTTTGTTCAGAATCGTTTACTGAACCGAATCCTATTATTTTAAATATAGGTAATTTTTTATCCCGAAAATAATTAAAACTACGTAAATTACAATCACACTAAATCTGTACAGCCAAAACAAACTGAAATGGACCGTAAGTTAAGGCAATAAGACTTTTAAGAGTGCAGTTTTATCTGTATTATTACTAATTCTGTCATTCAATAAAAATAATGAAAAATGAACTTTATTTCAAGCACGTTAAAGTCTTTGCGTTCGTGGATTTGTACTGTGACCACAACATCTTCCGGAATTAGTATAACTAATTTGATAAAAAATCAGTACATAAAAATGTTTCTAAAAATTCCGTGTATGTATTATGATTATAACATAATATACTAATTGGGGTGTGTGAGGAGGGTGTGCGTTAAGTTACATATTGTATATGCGACTACTTTCACATTAGCGCCATATAAATTTGATCCGATAATAATTACAGTCGGTTTCAATTTTATAAATTGTTTAATCACTAAATAAATACATTAATCGATGACGTGCTTATGATCCCAATTCCCAAGTGTTGCAAGAAGTAGGAGCATGCAGGCAAGCGTACCATTGACGAGTAGCCGTATCTCCTGGCGCGCGGTGCCGAGCCCGTTGTCAGCGATGCAGATGTAGACGCCAGAGTCGTTCCGGTACAGCGACACGATCTCTAGCGCGCCGTCCGACAGCAGCCGGTAGCGGTCTACCGCACCGTCGATCTGTTTGGGATATATCTATTAATATGTCTACGTAACAACGTGGAAGGGTCCAATCGGCAAACGTCTCAAAGGCAGACCCTACAAGAGATGGGCAGACGAATCGATAAAAATAGCTGGTACCTGCTGGCCGCTAATAGCTCAAGATAGAGACACATGGAATTCTTTAGAGGAGGCCTTCACCTTCACTTGGGGAGGGGTTCATGCAAACAAACTTATATATTATTATCCAGATTTAAACTTTTTTTCTATTCACTTCTTTTTTTTCTAAACTATGTATGTACTTATGTCATTATTAGCATGAAATAAAAGGCTTATTATTATTATGTCTACGTATAACCAATTTGAAATTCGAATTCGAAATTGGTCTACTATCGTTTTATCAATTCTGCTATGTAATATAGTGATGTTGGTTGGATGGTTGAAGATGATCGATCCTCCCTCCCAGGAAGCACTTCAATTGAGCACTGAAAGGCGTTGGTACGCAGAATTTGATCATGGCCTTGTTTCTCTCCATGATGAAATTCATGAAGGTCGACGATGAAATTCGTGAAGGTCGTCTCAGAAACGAGGATATTTGGGTGTTGTGTTTCTTCATAGAACAAGGGTGAAAAGCGAGCACACAGTCCACCTGATGGTAATTGGATGCTGTGGTTCATAGACATCTACATTTATCCTCGATTAAGAATCAAAACGCAGATGTGTTGTGACCCATGAGGACTAAGATGGAATGCCTCGTTTCCAGCAAAATCTGAAAAACATGCCCTCAGATGATAAAAAGAAACTATAATACGGGATATATATATATATATATATATATATATATATATATGATATATATATATATTTATATATATTATATTAAGCAATAAAATTACATTAATAAGCATAAAGTTAATATAAATACATTTCAGACATTAGACAAATATTATAGTAAATTTAAGGCCAAATATTGTCTTTCAGAATAAATAAATTTATTCAATAATAAAAACATTTCAATCATCAAAAATATTTAAAATATAATAAATAATAGAAATACAAGTCGAAAATATTATAAAAATAAAGATAAATAACATTTATAAGATAATTAGAAATATTTAATAAAAATTGTTTAAGTCATGGAAGGAGATGAACTCCATATAAAAAGAAAATTATAAAGTTATGGAAGGTGTTCATGTATGATGAAGATGTCTTGTATGGAGGAGCTGCCGGTGATACATATCTGCAGTTGTACATATATATGGGGTGGTCGGGTGCCCGACTGCTTAAAGTACTGTAGCACAGTGACTAGTCCTATATTAGGGACTTATGATAGTAAGCTCAATTATACAAAGCAATATTATAGAAGGTCTCTATGATGAATTTGCATTACAATAGTGGGGTCGTGGGTTGAAGTCCTATATAATAATGACTTGTGAAAGTAGGTCTATAATACAAAAGCATTACTATAGAAGGTCTCCTTGATGAATAAGCATTACATAGTGGGGTGGTCGGGTAACCGACTGCTATTAGTAATGTAGCAAAATGAAAATATTATTGTGGCGTGTATGCTGCTTCACGAGTAATTGGTCCGAGGTAAACTTGGACTCGCTAACCGATGTGTCCTAGACATATCATCTTAGTGCTGGTGGTAAGCGGGTTTGTTGTAGCAATACGGCTTTCCCATGGACATCGCACACCCATACAGTTTGTGGGCGATGTCGTAGCGCATAGCGATGCGTCGTCTCCCTTTCGGATTGGGATGAGTGTCTTTACACAAATTAAAACTTAAAACACCAATAATTAAGCACACTAATTCACTTTATTCCGCTCCGAAGCTTCGCTTGTCTCGCCAAATTCAATACTTCCCCGATCGCACCTTGCAGCGCCTATAAATACACATTAGTACCGAATCATCCAGAAGAATTCAAGTAAATACGCGCACCAATCGACAAAGCGCCGAAAGTTCGAGAGTCAGCTTCCAGAAGCTTATTTCTTCGTTTCGACAACAGATGGCGCTGTCGCTTGAAAAATTAGTGATGTCATTTTCTGGAAAGCTCTCCCCTCGCTCCGTTACCCGACACTAGATGGCGCTAGTGCCAGATGTCAACTTAGCCGCGTAACACTGCCCCCTCCTAAGACATGCTCGTCCTGAGCATTATCGGCCCCATAATAATGCACCAGGCGATCCACATGGACGATCTTAGGAATCCCCCCTTGCGCCCTTCTGTATCCGATAGGTTAAATCGTTGATCCTGGTCACAATCCGGTACGGGCCGTCCCACTTAGCTTGAAGCTTAGGAGATTTCCCTTTGCTGCGGACCGGATTGTGCAACCACACTAGTGAACCTTCGTCGAACCCTTTGTTGTTCATTTTGCGGTCATACCGGGTTTTCATCTTTTCAGACATTTGCTGGCCCGATTGTCTGACGTGCTCATAAATGTCATTCATTTTGTTTCGCAAGTCATTTGCATAATCGGTTATGCTGCGTGGGGCATCAGGTGGTAACCCGGTGATCAGGTCTGCAGGCAGCCGTAATTCTCTTCCGAAGATTGCGAAAGCTGGTGTCACTGATGTACTTTCGTGAACAGTGCTTCGATATGACAGCAAAAACGGTTGTATGTGCTTATCCCAATCTCGTTGCCGGTTGTCTACAACTTTTGCTAGGTACCCCTCCAATGTCTGATTAAATCGTTCTTACCATTCCATCAGATTGCGGGTGATAAGAAGTCTTTCTTGTTTTATGAGTACCCATAACTCGGCAAGTTTCCCGGAATATTTGAGACTCAAAATTCCTTCCTTGATCGCTGTGAATCTCTAAAGGTACTCCAAAACGACAGAAGACTTCATGAACTAGTTTATCTGCAACTGTTGAAGCTTCTTGATTAGGAATGGCGAAGACTTCTGGCCATTTAGTGAAGTAATCCATCACAACCATGAAATACTTGTTACCGCTTTCACTCTCCGGAAACGGCCCCGCAACGTCAATGGCTATTCTCTCCCATGGTGCACCAACATTGTACAACTTCAATGCACCTCTACTACGAGTCTGAGGTCCCTTTACTGCCGCACAACTTGTGCATTTGCGACACCAGTCCTCGACATCGTTTCGACAGTGGACCCAATAAAACCGTTTTCGGATCTTCGGTAGAGTTCGTTTAACTCCCAGATGGCCTCCTGAATAATCATTATGGTACAGCTGTAGAACATCCGGTACTTTAGCTTTAGAGACAACCATTTGCAAATGACAGCTGTCTCCCCGAACACTTTCCCATTTACGGCAGAGAACTCCATCCTGAAGCAACAAGCTATCCCACTGGGCCCAATAGCTTTTAGTGGTCGAACTCATCGCTGAGACTTCGCTCCACTTGGGCTTGGGAGCACTGGCCTTCATCCATTCCAGAATCGGCTTGAACCACCCAAAATAGGTAATTTGCACAAACGGTCCTTGAGCTCCTGGAATGCGATATTGCAACTTTCATCCCAGCAGAAATGTCGCTTCTCCTCGGTTAGCTTGTGCAGAGGTTTGACTATATCTGCAAAGTTCTTCACAAATCGCCGATAATAGGAGCACAAACCCAAAAATGCTCTAACGTGCGTCTTGTCTTTTGGAACCGGCCAATCCTTGACAGCGGCGATTTTCTCCGGATCCGTACGGATACCTTCTTCCGATACTACATACTCCAAAAAGTTGACTTGCCGTTTGAAGAGTGAACATTTCTTCGGACTCAACTTGAGGTTGGCACTCTGAATCTTCATGAGCACGCGTTCCAGGTTCTGAAGGTGTTCCTCAAACGTATGGCCCACGATGATTATGTCATCCAAGTAGACCAGACAGGCATCGCCAATTAGCCCAGTAAGTACAAGCTCCATCAGCCTTTCAAACGTTGCTGGAGCATTGCACAACCCAAACGGCATTACTTTAAATTGCCACAGACCCTTTCCCGTCGAGAACGCAGTTTTCTTCTTGTCCTTAGGGTCAATTTCAACTTGCCAGTAGCCACTTTTTAGATCCAGCGTGCTAAACCACTTTACTCCTGTAAGCATGTCCAGCGTGTCATCAATTCTTGGCAAGGGATAGCTGTCCTTCTTCGTAACGTCGTTCAGACGGCGGTAGTCAACACAAAACCGCATGCTGCCATCCTTCTTCTTCACCAGCACCACTGGTGAACACCATGGACTAGAGGAAGGTTCAATAACACCATCCTTCACCATTCCTTCAATCATGGTTGCTTCCTTTTCACGTGCTACCGGCAATCTTCTTGGCCGCTGACGGATAGGCAATTCTTCTCCTGTGTTTATTTTGTGTTGAACTAAGCCAGTCTTTCCTATGTCAGCATCGTTTGATGAGAATACATCGGCGTACTTGAGTAACAACTTCTTTGCCTTGACCAATTCGTTCGCGGAGAGAACACTGCGACAGTCTTCCAAAAGTGTGGTCACTCTCGTTTCTGAATCCTTGCTGAGGGTACCACTCGATATATATTGGCACCGACGTAACCAATCCACTTCCTCACAGGTACCAACCAGTGTGCCTTTTTCTATAATCTGTTCCCGGTCGAAAAGGTTCAGCACACGTACTCCTGAGATGTCAGTGGTCCTGACCAAGGTTCGAGCTACTTTCCATGGAAGGTCACTGTTTACCCTTTCCACAAGTACACAACGGTGGGCTTGCCCAGCGTTTCGAGGAAGACTAACCGGAACAATCGTTTCCGATCTCGGCGGAAGAACAATCTTCTTAATGCTGTACACGTTCCCTGGTAACGCACCTTCCATAAAAAGTTCCTTCCGTCCACATTTCAAAACATTTTGCTTAACGTCGATCTTACAACAATTATTCCTCATAAAGTCTAGGCCTATGATACAGTCGTCCATTATATCAGCCACGATGACATTATGCAGGTAGATCACGTTGCCTAGCTTCAACTCCATCTCCTTATCTCCACGGACGGGTATACGCTGACCGGTGGCTGTTACCAAATTAATGCGTTCTCGGTTGTATGCGGAGTCCCCAAGGAACTGACTTATAAATTGGGAACTAATAACCGTACGAGAGGCTCCAGTGTCTATGGTCAGTTTACACGGCATTCCGTTGACCTCGTCCTTGATGATGAGGCTGTTCCCGTCATGGGTTTGTGAGATCGAGATCCTTGGGGCTCTTTTAATATCAGCCAGCACCCGCCCACAATCCTGGCTTTTACTCGTTTCCCTGCTGCTGCTGGGCGGGGCTGGTAGCCGCACCACCTTCCGGATATCGTTCACCTTCCCTTTCTACGGTTCGCTTAGGGCAGCTGGATCGAAGATGGCCCCTTTCCCCACAGCTATAGCACCTAGGGCTGTATCCTATATTGCGGTCGCGTACCGTAGCTGTTGCAATCTCCCTGACGTGATGGGAGCGAAGATCCTGCCGCACGGCTTCCACCTCCAGTGCATGGGCCAAGCCGTCCTTAAGCGTCTCGTGGTGCCCCAGCCTCACAGCAGCTCTGACTTCAAGGTTGCGGATGCCGTCGATGAATGTCTGCACCAGGTTCCCTTCAATGAGCGCAGGTACAGACTGGTATGCTTTTCGAACCATCTTCTCCACCTCAAGGGCCAACTGCTGCAGATTTTAGTTGCTGCGTTGCACGCGATCTTTAAGCTGCGCGCAAAAGACGTGTTCCAGGTGAGCGTCACCATATCTCGCCTCCAATGCCTCAAGGAGCTGCTCGTAGGTCACTTTCTTACCGAGAGCTTCCAACACGGTTAAGACTTGGTCGCGCAGGCCTAAGGTGAGTGCAGTGATGTTTTATATAACAACATAATATTATATCTCTGTAACTTTCTCACCTTTGAATGATTGAAGGCAACTTGTTGGTGGATGAGACAAACATGATCGAAAATGCATTTACTCAACGTCAGTGACACAAACCCTTTCTGATGGCAAATTATTACTAACATCTTATAACTGCCTTTTGGCCTTATCTGCCGTTGTATTGGTTGGTGGAGCACATGTGTCGACCTCATGCGGGTGGTAGCTGGCAGGATGATATGAGGAGACTCTTCTAGGCTGCGGCCGAAAGCCGCACAACGTGGTACCCCATTCCCTTGAGGTGAACGGTAGAACTCATGACATGCTCTGCGGCTAGTAGCCGTGCTGATCATGCAATTGGTGGTGATGCCATACACTTACATCACGTCTGCAGGAGCGGCGGTTTGGCAGGTGATGGCGCTCACGGAGGGTTTACGGCCAGTGTGCCTATTTGCCTAAACCGTGGGACGTACATTCACTGTGGCTGGATTCGTTCGTATTCTGTATGGCGTTTACACGCATTGACATGCGCGACTTCGGTCGATGTTTGTTCTTTACGCACTAACAAGGGGCCAAGCCTCTTTTACTGGTTCGCCAGTTATTTTGCTGTGGACTACGGTCCAGTTCCCGAATTAGCTTTCCCTTCGGGGAGAGTGCAACAAAATGGTTGGCGCTCAACGTGCACGGCGTGTGTGGGGCCGTGTGCCTCCCCTACGTTTTTTTTAAAATAAATGTAGGAGAGCGAAGCCATTGTATCGGGTATTTTGTATAAATATGTTGTGAGCCTTTTCCAAGCGGGAAGGGATAATTAATAATAAAATAACAATGTAAACCTGATAGGTACAAGTGGAATAGGGACGTTTTATGTTTCTAACCTTTCTCGAGCCCTGTCTTCATGAACGGGGTTCACTTAGTTTATTAGGCACTACCAACAGCTTTCAATTACTCTAGTGAATATTCATTCTTCCAAAAGACGCCTAAAAGAACTAAGTTACTAAACAAAAACAACGTAAATAAGGGTCCTAACTAAGACGATCACGCCAAAAATATCGCAAACGGCCTATTATTAAACCTTTAGGAAGATCATTTAGAAAGTCACATATATATAATTTTATCGAAAAAGGGTAAATTAATTATATATATTGAGGGGGGGAGCGTTACATTGTGTTTTCAAAAATGATATGTACAAATGAAATAGTTTACAATGTAATGAAGAAAAAGCAATATCTAGACATATTACTTTACTTATAAATTGTTTTATTTTTGAGTTGCACAAAACTTTCAGTGTATACCCTAGCTATACAATATACCTGACAATACAAGTTAGCGTAAAATGAAAAGAAAATGTAAATTGTTATACGAACCGTTATCTCACCGTGCCGCCAGGTGATCTTGGGCGGTGGGTTGCCGTGGAAGAGACAGCGAAGTGTCGCCTTGCCTCCTTCTTCAGCAGTCACCTCTGGTTCAGTCTCTGTGTTCGCCTGTGGTGCTTGTGGTAGTTCTGTTAGCAAAAAGTAAAGGCTTTAGTTTTTTTTTTAAATATTCATAGGTCGAAATTACAAATTTAAGATAGAATTTATTATTGATATCTTAATAGGTTGTTGAAGATATACTCAGATTCCGTACCTATTTTTTCTCAATCTTAGATATTTTTATAAGATGTCTCTTTGACTATATACAGATTAACGAGGCCCCGGTCTTCTAAATACGCTGTATTGGTTGACACTATCATCCTCTTTACATCTCTTGCGGAAAGCATTCTCTATCTCTCCTTTAATGTAAAGACTTTTTATAGTAGTATTTTATTCATTATTTTATTTATATTTTCAGAAAATTTTCCTTCTCTATCTTATGTTAGGTTATTATTATAATAACTTTTTTGCAATATTACCTCTAAAATGTAACTGTACTCAGTAGAACGCACCTTATTTTGCTATCTGAGCACCTATGCCACTACGCACTGGGCACCTAAGTCGTTGTCGTCGTGTACTAACGGGTACGTAAGGAATGTATGTCAAAGATGTTCGCGTGTTCAAGTGGACCCAGGAGCTGCGCCTCAAATTATCTGGTGTCGGAACACCAGATACTTTCTCTGGTCTTTCGTCTGGTGTTCTGACACCAGATAATTTGAGACGCAGGTCCTGACACCAGACAATTTGAGACGCAGGTCCCGAGATAGACTCCTACGCAAAACCACAATTCGTAACATACAAAAAAATATTACCTGATATATCTTTTTCATATATTTCCGTGTACTTTTTGCTCACCAGGCACGCATGCAGAGTACTCACCGTACACACGTGGGGTGGGGGGGGGTTCTAAGTGGATACGCTGGCGGCGTACTCACTTTACGCTTAGGCAATGTACTCACCGGGCACGTAGACGGTGGTCCTGGGTGCGGGGCTGGTGGCTGCTGTGGCGGTGGCGGTTATGGGCTCGAGGCACAGCTGGCTGCAGCCGCGCTCGCAGCACTTGCCCGCGCCGCGGCAGTCCGCGTCGTCGTTGCACTCTCGCCGGCACGAGCCCTCCACCGGCCGCAGCTCCTCCAAAGACGGGCAGCTGCCAGTCTTGTTCACTGCGAACCAATACCAACGTCAGCCCAACAATCCACTGCTGGACATAGATTTTTTTAAAGAGGATGTTTAAAATTTACATACATAAATTTCACAAGGACAAACTAGAACCGGAAATGTATTATAATACCGGAATACTTGTTCCGTCCCGGATTCGAACCCGCGGCCTTCAGCGTCACATCTCATTTTAAACCACTGCGCCACGGAGCCGTCATTTATGACAACAGATTGATCATAAAGTGAAGTTATAGCCTATAAACGTCCTACAGCTGGGCACAGCACAGACCTCGTCTTATTACGGAAAGTGTAATTCGACAATGAGTACGCTAAGCTGCTCCAATGCGTCCGTGTCTTCACAATATCACATATCCTTGATTTTTTTCGTCGGATATGTAGGTTAATTCTATTATTCCTCAGACATGTAGGTTAATTCTATTATTCCTCAGACATGTAGGTTAATTCTATTATCCCTCAGACATGTAGGTTAATTCTATTATTCCTCAGACATGTAGGTTAATTCTATTATTCCTCAGACATGTAGGTTAATTCTATTATCCCTCATGCCTGAAGGGTAGTTTTACCTAACGATGTTTTCCTCTACCGGTGCGCACGTGGTAATAATTCATTAGTGCCAACTAATCATAATTAATTTATAATACATACACAAACTCTACTTCATTCAGATATGTAATACGATTATTAAATTACTAAGTATAATTTGTGAGAGACAGACTAGTGTCTACAGTCAGAAGCTCCGATTGATCAGTCATATTTAAAAGATAGTATTTGAATTAAAAATAAATAAATGAGGCGTGGATGTAATTCGGTATACCCTCGCTGTAATCGGTCACTAATGTATGAAGTTTGACTATGTCACATGATTAAAGAAACAGACTCTACTCTGTGACTGTGTTCTTATTTCTAAGGCCGGCTTTAGTGCTCGACCGACTGTCAGTGCGTACCATCGTTCCTGAGGATACGCATAACCGATTGTCATTTTGTAGCATTCAGTGCTCTCCTGACCCACCGAACTGGCCGGACTGGTACAGTCACAAACACGTACACACGTAAATGGACGTGTTTGCAAATTATTTAATTGCTACTTACTATGTTCGTAAACGTATAAGGAACAGAAGACGTAGATATCACGTACACCCATCGAAATTCGGACACAAAGCTGTACAAACTTTTTCCCAGGCCTTTAACTTGGCAACACGGTCTTTGTATAACACGTGGCCTTTTTTCCACAGAAGTTCAGGAATACAAACTTCGGTAATTAGGCGTTCGGTGTCGATATATGCCATGTTTGATCAACATTACTTAAATCACTAAAAGGACATACAATATTATTGAAGTTGTAAACTAGTAGGTTCGATATTTTTGGAGATGATACGAGCATCCGTACGGTTAGTCCACCGATCGGTGTAGCATAGACTAATATATAATACTGGAGACGGTGTAGCACTGAACGCGTTAATATGTTTCCATAGCGCGTCGGTCGACCGACGGTACGCATGCGGACGTGCTTGACCGACGGTCCTCGTACGCAGTGCGTAGCAATTTACACATGCGTACGGTCGATCGAGCACTGTCACGACTTGTAAATTTTCATACAAATGACAAGCGCGGCCGACGTACCTACGCACCGACGCGCGGTCGGTCCAGCACTAAAACCGGTCTAAGATGTAACCCTGACTTCTATAAAAACATGAAACAGTTTTGTCAAAGATTGAAAAATGTTTTTATGTTCTTAAATTCTTTATGCTCACCAATGTTACATCCAGCTACGTAGCTAATCTCCTGCAGCACTGGGTCTCGGAATGCGGTCGCTACGCATCTCTCGCCCTCCGCGCACACTTTGTTTGCACACGGGTGATCCAGGCATTTGCACCTGTTTGAAGGTAAACAATGTTTTTTATTACGATAATTCTTACGATTCTAATTTGCACAAAATGGAGCACAATAACTATTATTTTTGTTTACTACAATGACTGAACAACTCAGAATTAAGTAAGCTTTTATTTAAAACAATAAAAACTCCCATGGCATAGTGTTAAAAGTGTTTGCTGCGTTTCCTCGCTGAATGGCTATACTTAGCCCGGTTTACATTATGAGAAATGGCAAGTGGGAGTGGCAACTTTTTGTCATCAGCGACGAATACAAGTTGCGGATTCAGTACCTTTATTTAACTTTACCGCACTTTAATCTTATCGATAAACGAAAAGCATTTTTCAGAGACTCATATTTTGCACCATTTATATATTTTTTTTTATAAATTAAGAGTAACAAACGAGTACACAGTCCACCGGATGGTAAGTAGATGCTGGCCCATAGACATCTACATCTAAATTAAATTAAGATGATGATTCTCGGATGCGTTGTCACCCCTGAGGACTAACATAGAAGGTCTCGTTTCTAGTAAAAAAGTTGCTGTTTTATGCTGGTATTATGTGAGAGCGTGGCCCTTCCCCGGTCGAGCAGACTCATTCGTGGAATACTGTACCATTATATGGGGTACTGAAGCCTCGTTCTGCGTAGATCGAACCAAAAACATTATACTCAAAAACTGAGGGTAGCCGGGCTAACTATGACATCGGGACGTCAAACACTTCAATTTCTCCCGTGACCATGCGTCGTAATGCACTCGAAATTAAATAAATTAAATGAAATTCGATAAAATCCATAAAATTAGTGTTTTTCAACGTTAAGTATTCATGTAAATATAAGAAATTATTATGCGGTTTAGAGTTACCTTTCGCAGCCGTCGTCGCCGGTGGTCCTGAGGAGGCCGTAGGTGCACTTGAGGCGCTCACACTCGGTGCGCAGCGGCGCGCAATCCACCTCCAGCTGCACGCACGTGCAGCGCTCGCAGCCGGCCGCCGTGCGCGTGCGCTGCACGCCATACGCGCAGCGCAGCGCCGCGCACGCAGCCCTCTCCCGCTCGCACACAGGCTCCACCTCGTTGCTCTCTGCGGATTACACAGCTACGTTACCTTTACCGTTTACGTGATAGAGCCACGCTGTAGCTATATTATGTAGCACGAATGGGTGGCTCCACCAGGATCAGGCTCTCAGAGAATATCAGCGTAAAATAGCAACGTAATACTGCGTGTAGAAAAACTACGTTCCATCTTAGTCCTTAGGTGTGACAACACATCTGCGTTTTTATTTTGAATCCAGGATAAATGCAGATGTTTTCGGGCCACAGCATCCACTTACCATTAATTGGACTGTGTGCTCAATTGCTACACTTATTCTACAATAAAAACGAAAACTCTGCGAAACTTTTACGTCGGAGCCGTTGAGTGCTTTCATTTTGATTCTTAATTGAGAACAGATACAGATGTCTATAGACCATTGCATCCACCACTTACCATCAGTTAGACGAGGGATTCGCAAACTATTATGGGCAAGAGACCCTTTTCTAAAATGAACTGACACCTCAGACCCCCAAGCCAAATTACTTTAAAAATCTTATCTCTATTTTTTTCCTATTCATACAAAATACTTACCCTTTTAAAAATTTTACAAATTAAATAGACATAAAATTCAGTAAATATCAAGTATAATTAATAATTATTCATACAAATTACAGTTACAAATTATCTGTTTTCGCTAATGTCCCCCTGGGTCGAAATTGGTTTACCAGGGTATTCGCGAGTATCTCGCACGGAAACAAGTGTTTGTATTGCCTATGAATAACTGTTGTGTTAACATACGGGTTGTGATGTGTGTACGCGATTAATGTGTGTAAACTACATCTCACGATACCTTAACACACTTTTACTTCAGCGGTTCATTTTACTATGAAACAAACTGTACAATGGGTGCGTTCGGCAGAAAAAAGCGCTAGCAAGCGCTTGTAAGCAAAATGGCGATCGTAAGCGGTAAGCGCTGTCAAATCGTAAGTAGCTATTTTCCTCCAGGACACGATGTTAGTTTTAACCGGGGGAATCTAACCTAATTTAAATATATGTTTGTAAAGTATTCATACTAAAAACTTACCAATCATGAGTTTTTAATAGCATGTATATGTTTATTCATGTCATTATATTACTTAAAACTAATATTGCACAAAACAACTTATAAACTCTACTTCAAAACAAACAAATTAAATAAGCAAAATGGCGGATTGTGTCAGCGCTACTGAAGTAGCAATCGTGTCCTGGCCGAAAACTATTTTAGCGCTTATAAGCGCTTGCTAGCGCTTTTTTCTGCCAAACGCACCCATTAGTTGCAGCGGCAATTTCCATTTAAGGCCGAATACGAAGAAAACTGGCGAAACTTTATAATAATATAATAATAATAATAATAATAATATTCCACAACTATCACACAACGCCATCTAGTCCCAAGCTAAGCAGAACTTGTGTTATGGGTACCAGACAACTGATAAACATACTTATATATTTCTAAATACATAAATATTATAGATAAATTACACCCAGACACAGAACAAATGATCGTGCTCATCACATAAACATTTGTCCTGGGTGGGAATCGAACCCACGACCTCCGGCATAGCAGTCAGGGTCACTAACCACTAGACCAACAGGCCTGTCAATTTTTCTTTATGTATTTCTGTTCACTAGAACTTTGACCTGAAGTGATTCTAAGCGTTAAAACATACTATGTAGGTTTGTTCAGTTCCTTCACAAGGTGTCTGCTTTATTTAAATTTTAAAATAAGTCAATATACCAAATTAACAAATGTGTTACGAAATGATATCTCAAAATTATTTTTCTTTCAAAAATCTGTGAGTATAAATTTACGAAAAATTCTTTTTACGTAAAAAATATTTGTATTGTAATTCCGAAGGTGCATCAGCATGTCTTCTTTATTTTTGACCTTTTGCGATACAATTTTTTTTTAACATAATTCGTTTTAATTATAAACGCCTAGTAATAATATTATATATTGCCAGATAAAAGTTTGCCGTCATAAATTACCAGGCGCTTCGATGTGTGGCGTAAGGTGACAATAGTCAGTTATGTCTGTATTGAAAATCGTTAATTTAGGGGTTTACACGCGTTTAAGTGACTATAAATGTGAATAAGCGTAGGAAAAGAAATAATTATTACTTAAGTGTTAAAGACAAAGAGAGCAAAACCCAATTGGTACGTTCCACTTTGAGGTTATATTTTTACTTACTTTTACGGTACTTTTTTGTTGGAGGTTACCTAATAGGCTGGATTTTTACTAATTTAAATTAGCAATACTGATTAATTATACGTTTCTGCGTGATGAATTGAGAAACTCTAAAAATGTAAATATCTCGACCAAGTAGGAAAATAATGTACAGAGTAGTGTGCAAGCACAGAGACCGCAAATAATGTCATTCAATTTCGAAAGAATACATTATGAAAAACCGCACATACTGTCACGGGTATTATGTGATTGACCGATCGAAGTAGTCTTGTGAGAATTTACCACACAGTACCCACCTACTACTTTGAGTTTTTAATTTTTTTCTTTATTATTTATGCAATTTGTAAAACTCACAAGAACAAACAGTTTATAATTCAGTTACTGAAGTATTTTACGTCCGATGCACCAATACAGAAAAAAATTGATGTCAATTCAATAATTTTTCTTTACAGAATAACTTTACGGAACTTATAATCTATACTAATATTATAAAAGGGAAAGATTATTATTTTTGTATGTTTGTAACGAATAAAGTACAGAATGTACAATCTGTAGGAACTAAAATTATAAATAAGAAGGAGTTAATTAAGAAGTAAGCAATGCTCTCTGTTGTTCATTACTCTGCTTACCGAGCTAGCGTACTCGTACAGCTAACGCACGTGATGTTCGAAAGACAGCGCGTGGTTCGCCACGAGATGAGCAAGGTCATTCGCTTCGTATTCGGACTTAATTAATAAATTTAAAATTCATAGAGCTCTGTTAAGAGGGAATCCTCTAATTGTGCTTGTAAAACTACTATGACGAAAAGAGAAACCGATAATAAACAAAAATTCCTCCAAAAATATTTTGATCTACTAAAAGGTGCTAATTTGGCAATACCAAGATATGTTTTCAAAAGACTTTAATCTACTAAGGAAGTAGAAATCTATTAAATCTGGTCACTTCACGCTGAAGACCGGTAAGTACTTTGCTACTTGTATAAAAAGTTACAAGAGTTGGTATTATACAGTAAACTTTGAGTAGGTATTCAAATTGGATATGATCCATATAGTCCATATAGTCGAAAACATAATACAAACAAGCCACACTTAACTCAATATTTTTCTTAATTCTTACATGTTTTACACACCAAAGAATAGAGTGCAATTTCATATCAACAATATACAACCATAATATGAGTTTTTAAGGAAATAATACTGACCTTGGAATATAGGTACATAGGACACGTCATACTTGAAGCAACATTTGCGAAACAGAGATAGTCAATTGCTGTAAACACGTAAGTAGTGCACTGTGCGAGAGCAAGAAAAAGCGTGTAAAAGCGGTGCAGGAGTTCAATGCACTAGCTGATTACGACGATGATCCTTATGCCGGCTCTACACACGCTGAATAAACCAGAGTCTCTGAACATTTAGTTATTAAAATATCGAAAGTTGATACCGACGACACCGAGGTTGCGACAGAAATGCTGAGCCCGAGGCAAGGCAGCGTGGTAGAGCTGGCGAACGGTAAGCGATGATATATTGTACCGGCGGTCGGTGGAATCCTGCACAGGTTGGCACACTCCTCGTAGGAAACAAAGTTGTTGAGGTTGCCCTCGCAGCCGAAGTAGATGAAGGAGAGACAGTCGCCATAGCTGGTGCTGTAGTGCCAGCGTCGTGCGGGCTGCCCGCACTCACTCGAGCCCATCGACAGCGGCTGCAGGCACGCCGGGTCTGCTCCCCCCACACCCCACCACCCCACAATGTTAGTCACCCGGGACAAGCAAGCGGTTCTTTGTCGCAGTTCGTGTCGAGGTATATTCGATTAGGTAAACTACTTGTTATACACTACTATTGCGAAGTAGATAGTTAAAATAATTTATAGCGTTCTAGTTAATTAGTTTATATATTGACCCCTACTTGACCAAGCCAACAAGCAGTAACGGATTTATGTTTAACCATTTCAATAATTACCTTGACAGGTATATTTCCATTTGCCATTTAAAAAAATAAAAATGGGCGCCATATTTGTTTGGGTTTTGGGCGCCATTTCAATCACCTACTGCCAAAGAGGGCTAATCTCACCGCTCACCAGATGTCGCTAGTTGACACTGAAGTGAAGTTTTTGTCACAATTGAGATGTTAGTTTTATATAATAGTTTATCAGTTTATGGAGAATAATATTAATACACAAAAAAGCCTCAGTGGTTTGCTCTATAATTATTAGAGATGGACCGAATATTCGTTTCATATTCGGTATTCGGCATATTCGGCAGCTTTCGAATATTCGGCTAAATCACCGAACATTCGTTAAAGTGGTCAAGGTGCCCAATGTATTGAAACCAAGTATGAATAATGCCATGTCTTTCATAATTTACCGTTGAAAGTATATTTTATTTATGGGTTAAATCTACTTGTATAGCATTATGTTTTCAAGGCACTGTAGATTTGTTTCCAATTATAGAAAATAGAAAGCTTAAAGTTAAAGTAAAATAAAGTTACAGCCTATATACGTCCCACTGCTGGGCACAGGCCTCTCATTTCTGAGAGGGTTTTAGGGCAAGGAATAGTCCGCCGCGCTGCCCCAATGCGTGTTGGCGAACTTCACATGTCTTCAAAATATTTTTTATTTTATTTCTCAGACATGCAGGTTTCCTCACGATGTTTTCCTTCACCGCCGAGCACGTGGTAAATCAGCACTTAAAATTGCAATTAACAATTTCATTGGTGCCGGCGGGGATCGAACCCGGTTTGCTCGCGTATTGTGAAATTTACAGCGAGCGCTAACCATCTGAGCTACCACGGCTCACAATAGAAACATTAAATAGAAAGCTTAATAAAATGTTTTTGTAATCAAACAAAGAAACATTACATTACATTAGTGCATTTCACTTTAGTTTGGTCGTCAGTTTCTCACGAAAATAGTCAAAACAAGTATGTGCCGGCAATTTGCTCAGTACCTACTAGATGATGCAATAACATATCAGGTGTGGCGGGGAAACGAGGTGCAAGGTCCAGCGCTGATCCCACTTGCTTTACCTTAACAAGTTTCGATATAAATTGGTTAGGTGTACCGAGGTGATCCTGCCGAATAAGTTCGGCCAAATATTCGGTTCAGTCAAAGTTTTACCGAACTTTCGGCCGAATATTCGTATTCGGTGAAATCCAGATTCGGCCCATCTCTAATAATTATTTCCACTTTTTAAAAAAAATACTTTTATCTGTGTACTGGTTTATTTATTTTCAATCTAATTATTGTAAAATATAACTAATAGTACAGAGAGAAACGTTAATCATTACATTTTTAGAACAAAGTTACTTACCTGATATGTACTGATAAAATATTTCATCTTATCCAAAGTGGCGCTGCCCTGGTGGCAGAAAAAGTCATGGAACGCAATGGAATATTTTCAAACGCTATCTAAAGGAGTATTTGAAGAATGAAGTTCATTGTGCCTTATTGGCTTGGTCTAGTTGAAGATGGAAAATCTATTGAGGGTTGCTGTAATTGCATTGTCAACATAATATACCTATATTGTTTCTGTTTGCCGTTGTTAAAATTATGAAATGACAATTATTGCCCAACTCTCAATAGAATATGAAATACTATAGCAAGTTTATCTAATTAGAAGTCACAGGTAAACTACTGAATGTTAACTATGATTAAGATTCTAAATACTAATGATTGATGGAAGAAAGAAGTCAACTTTAAAACAGGTTTCTAAAAATGATGGCACGGCCAAATGTTGATGTACACACCGGGTCCAGTGGCTCCGCAGATTTCTTCACATTCGTCCTCTGTGGAGAAGCGGTTGGGTCCGCCGAGGCAGCCACCATACGCGAACGGTAGACAACGGCCAGATTCCGCGTCCCAGTACACTTTCATTATTCCAGTCTCCTGGCATGGACCAGGGTCGAGTCGAGAACCGCACACATCTGTATATTTGTTCAATCCGATTGTTTTAAGACAAAAATCAACTTTTTTTTTCAGACTAACTTTTATTCGATTTCGATGTGTATTATGACTATAGACTAAAATAATTTTTGAACAAATAATTTTATAACTATAGTACGTGAGGGAAATATGGTCATCCAGTTAATAGGTCACTTGCTTATAACTAAAAAGCTACAGCCTTGTTTGCAAAGATGGCTGCTTTGTGACACGATAGCTCTTCATCGGTCATTCAAATAATAAAGGGTCAAAAGGGCGCTGCTTTATCGACGTTATTTTGACAGTTGACATTATAGTAAATATTTTAGTAGATTTTAGTATTGTGTAATGTCGTTTGTTTTTTTAAGTAGATTGTAGAAGTATTCTAATTATTGCCAAAGCTTGTTTGCTATATTTTCTAAATATACAATACAATACCCTTTATTGAACACTAAAAAATACAACATAACAAGAAACAAAGAGAAAAACAAAAGGCGGTCTTATTGCTATGCAGCAATTTCTTAAAGACAACCTAAATAGGAAATATAAATAAGTGAAAAGTTAAGTAATGGGTAGAGTGCACTATAAATAATATTGTAATCTATAAATATAAAAGAAATTTAATAAACATGCCGTTATTTACTTAATTGACAGACTAGTGATCACAAAACGACAGGAATATTGAATAAAACTAAATTTACGGATTCTATCGCGTTTATTTAACTGATTTTACTTATTTTTAATTCCCGACGTTTCGGGTGCTTTACAGCACCCATGGTCACGGGGGGAGCTGAGATATTTGACGTCCCAATATCATTGTTAGCTCGGCTACCTTCAGTTTTTGAATATTAAAAATCGAGTTTTTGAACATTAAAAAAAAATTTAATATTCAAAAACTGAAGGTAGCCGGGCTAACAATGATATTGGGACGTCAAATATCTCAGCTCCCCCCCCGTGACCATGGGTGTTGTAAAGCACCCGAAACGTCGGGAATTAAAAAATAAGTAAAATCAGTTAAATAAACGCGATAGAATCCGTAAATTTAGTTTTATTCAATGTGTAGTGTTCGCGTAAATTTAAGAAATCATTACGACAGGAATAGATAAAAGGAGGAGGGATGATTTAGAAGGAAAGATAATGTTTATATATTAGTTATAGTATACGACTTTGCATTTTTATCTGTCCTTCTCCTAGTTTTGGTATAATATGGCGGAAAACTTAAGATGACTATATTACCATCACGTGCCTTACTATTTAAAATTTGATTGCTTCGTAACTTTTTAGAGTTATTAAACGTTACGCCACAGTTTTGTTGTGTGGTTTATGGCCGCTCCAAGATCAGGTCGGACCAGGCAAGAAATCGCTCTTACACACTAGTGTAAGACAGCAGCGTAATTTTTTTTTGTGAACTGGATTATCTTTTTACTGTAAATGAATGGCATCCATTCTTGATCCTCGAGGGTAATAACAATTAGATATCGAAGATAAATCTCAATGCCCTTGGACTGCAGCATCCTCTTACCATCAAGTACACTATGTGATCATCCTTACTTATATGAACAAAGTTCCTTACCTTGTAGTGGTGGTGTATGAATATCCATTAACCCATATCATCTGGTAGGTTTCGTAGGAAGCGATAGAGGAAAACAAATCAGGAGATGAGCAGTAGCGTCACACCAATAACGACCAAATATAAAACTGCAGCTATCGCAAATATCCCCCCTGTGAGGCAATCATGGGGGAGGCCTATGTTCAGCAGTGGACTAGGCTGTAACGGTAACGGTATATAAAGGTCTAGAAGTTGTACTGACCAAGTCCACGGAAAGCTCCACATCGCCTCTCGCACTCCTCCTCAGTGCGGTAAGAATTTGGATGACGACAGTTGCCGAAGTCGGCCGCTAGACACGCTCGTCGCGACGAATCGTAATAGAATACTGTAGCCTTGGTACCGCACGGCTCGAAGGACTCTGGAGTGCGGCATTGTTCTTCAATCGGCTGTGTACAGCAATTACAAGAAATAAGTATCTATTCATTAAGACCGGTTTTGATAATCACGTTTAATTCCATTTTCATTTAATTTTACCCCCCCCCCCCTCCCCCAACTTCCATGTATTTCAAAGTGTAGTACTACTAAGAATTTTCTTTCTACAGTGGCCTAATCAGTGAGGTCTACTTGTTAAGACAATTCCCAGTAATCTTACTTTTTTTGACTATTTGGTAGAACTATTGGGAATCCCCCGTTTACTTTCGTTACGTATATTAATATTTCCTTAGTGTAAAATAAACAGTGTTGTATTATTTATTAAAGTTATTGTTTTGTAACCCCAGTGTAGTATTTTCTCCTGTATCTTGGAGGCCGTAAACTTATTTTTGATACCCGCTTTAGATGCTTTACAAAAACTTATTTTTTACGTGGTAGAGCCACGCTGCAGCTATATTATAGTTGTAGCACGAATGGGTCCAGGACCACTCTCACAGAATATCAGCGTAAAATAGCAGCGTAATGCTGCTGTGTCCCGTATGGTGAGGGTAAAGAACCGAAGACCCTTTTTACTGGAATCGAGGCATTCCATCTAAGTCCTCAGGGGTGACAACGCATTTGTATTTTGATTCTTAATTGAGTATAAGTGTGGATGTCCATGGGTCACAGCATCCAGTTACCATCAGGTGGACTGTGTGCTCGTTTTTCACCCAGTGCTATAAAACTAATGTCACGGAGAAACTGAGTTGTTTGATATACTGATATAGGTTTACCTTCAGCTTTTGAATAACAAATTTTCATGCTACCTATGCAGAATGAGCTTACAGTATATTGAAGTCTCGCACTGATATGCTTGGACTTGGATTTAATTTAATTATGTCTCAAGCAGAATACATTACCCTGATTACAAGCACAGATATAAAAGGAAGCCTATATAATAGTACAGTGACAGGATGATAATCACTTTGCTACAACTTACCGTCTCCTGTGTCGTGATTGAAGCGACAGTTGTCGTGGGAGCCGCACTACTGCTCGTGGTGGTGCTGTCAGTGATGGGAGTGGTGGTTGTTGTGAGTATGGGCTGCTTTCTGCACCGAACCTCGCATTCTGCACGTGTGTCAAACCTTGTAAAATAAGAAGACCGGCAATCAGTTCAGAAAAATGTTTCTTTCACACTAATTAAGTGATTTTTTTTTAATTTGAGCAAACGACAAAAGAGGCAAGGCCTGCTATAAGCTTCATACGTAGCAAAATGTATTATCTTATATGGTCGTGATGAAGTATTATGGCAGTACGAATCGGTCGACTCAAACGGGGAAGAACCGCGCTCGTACAGAATACCAGCTTAAAATGGCAGCGCTCGGCTGCTGTGTTACGTGTGATGAGTGTAGAGAACCAGAGTTCCTTTACCGAGTTAACGAGTCATTTTATCTTAATTTTTACTTTTTTTAACTGTAAACTGTTAACTGACGACACATCAGTATTTAGAATCTTAATCGAAAATTTTCTGTATTTAAAAAAAAGCTCTGTTTTCTCTTTCGAGCCTTTTTGCAGTACATTTAGTAAATTGAAATCCCTATATCCAAAAAAAAAAAATCGCGTTCAATGATTTACAGATAGCTTAAAGTTGTTTTAATTTAAGCTATCTTAAGCAGCCGAATAGAGAGCATGTAGCTGTGGCAACTATAACATTGTTTTTTCTTTTTTTTAAACGTAACCCCCCTCCCCCCCTACGATTTACTCCTGTATCGTGGAAGCAGTTTACAAACATAAATTGCACAAGAACAAACATCCAGACCCGGAACAATTATTTGTAGGCCATACAAATACTTGTTCCGTGCGGGATTCGATCCCGCGGCCCCAACCGCAACCACTCATTGCTAAGCCACTGCGCCACGGAGCCGTCAAAGACATTCTATGGGGGGATAATGTTCAGCAGTGAACTTTGATATGTTGTAATGAATGATGAAATAAAGTAAAGATATGCCATAAATACCTGGAAGGTAAAGTGGAAGCTCTATCATCTAGAACTGTAAGATTGCGATGGTTAATATATACCTGTTATCGTTCCCGTTGCAGCCGCCGTATACGAACTGGTTGCACTCGTTGCGATCTTCATCGTAGTACCACATCAGCAGATATGCCAGGCAGTTGCCGGGTTCTGGACGCTGCTTGCATGGGTCTAGTGATTTTGGAAAATAAGCACTGTAATGTATCGCTTAAGAGCTATTTTAATGTTAATTTTCATGCAAGCGTGGAAATTTTCAATTACTTGAAAGGTGTAAAGGGCATTATATTTGAAAATCCAAATTACAACCAATCGCCACGTTTCAAGGGCCATAAAGTCCGATTCATATGTCCGTTTGAATCGTATGTTTGTACTTTGCCGATTGCTACGTTAGTTGGTCTTAAGGGCCTATACTACCTCAAATGGCTTTGCAAGATCCTCCGTTATTCCGAAAATATTGCAGCATTTATTTTGAATTAAATATATGGTAAAATTGAGGATTAATGTTAAGTACTATGTTAGACGACAACAAGATTCCGTAAAATTTTCTCGATAGAAAAAATCCAAATTTATCTCCCAAACTGAACAATAAACAGCTGGTATTCATAAAATATTTTAAATTAGATCATGACACTTTGCATACTAACTGAACTAACTATAAAGCAGGGCTTATGTTTTTTATTTTATTTTAATTGCCATTGTTTTCACTGTAAAAAGAAATTACCTAAACTATCTGAGTCTTGAAGCGTGTTCCCTGCCGCCCTATCAGTCTCGCTTCGGCTTTCGAACGGGAAAACTTTGCCGCTTACGATCAGAATACACATTACAGGACGACGTAAAATTAAAATGAGAAATAACCTAAATAAAAATAAGAAGCGACTGGGTTGGCGTAAAGAAACCAGGAGAAATGGCATAAATATGTTAAACCTAATGAAATAAGTATCGTACAACCTATCTACTTACAGTATTAGTGATTAAAAACATGTCGGTACATAGCATACGACGCGCGAAGAAGTGGGGGCAAAATTAGAATTTGAATTGAAGTAGTACAGGCCCTTAAACACGATTGTTGATTCGACCTGGGATAGAATTCCAAGTCGAGTCAAAATCAGTTAAAGGGTTATGGGGTTTTCCTATCAAAGAAAGCAGCAGCAGTCTAGAGCCAGGAACCCGTGTCTCGAAAAGCAGTTTCATCAGATGCTGCACCTGTTTCCTCTTCAATCGTGTCAGATTGTCGTCCCATGAGAGTCGGACTATGATACCGACTATCTATGAGAGTGAGTAATAGAGAGTGCAAATGTTTTCATATTTTCCGCCGTGACAAAAATTCTGTCTGGACATATTTATCATTTTGTTTGTAACATTACCAATCTTTTTCATCTCGCAAATCTCAAGCAGAAATAAATATATTGTCTCGAAATCAATTGCATTTGACGCATTTATGCATAATGAATGCCTGGCTGTGTGTTAATTTTCGAAAAAAAAAATCGATTCTATAGTTCTTATAAACAAAAAATAATAGTAATAATGATTTGAACTTTATGGTAAAAAAAACTAAAGTTGAAGTTTGATGAATTATTAAGACTGTCCAATGACCACCCAGCCGCATCTTAGCCCCACAGTCGCTGATATTACTTGATTTGTGCTTTCATGATATTTATTTTTCAGACCTAGTTTTATTTGAAAGTCAGTAGGATTTTCTTCTATATAGTGGAAATGTTTGACAAACATAAATTACATATGAACATGCGGAACCCGAATCCTCGAACCTGCAGTATGACAACCAAACGCTAAGCCAAAAGCCACTGAGATATCAAACCGTCAAATGATATGGCCTGCAAAGAAGTAGAAAATATTTACCCGACTCCGGTTTGCACACTTCTTCACACTCTTCATATGTGGAGAATCTGTTAGGTCCTCCGTGGCATCCTCCGTACATGAACTGCTGGCAGCTGCTTGTGGTCGCGTCGAAGTAGAACTTCGGTTGGAACGAGCGGCAAGGACCGGGGTCCACAGGGTACCGGCAAACCTCTAATGAAAAAGAAATCAGGTTTCATGGTCATTTAATTTTATTCCAGTACATTATAGACAGCGCATATGTAGCTTTTTTGTTTGGTGTTAGTTTCTCTGCACTGCACTGCAATACCACATTACAATTGGTCGGAATGTTAGTTTGGCACTTCAGTTTTATAAAAAAATGCCAGGCATGATTTTACAGATAATATATACAAATTTAATTAAAATAATATGTAATACAAAACTGTTTTTACAATTTGGATTAATAAACTATTCAATAAATCTAATTACGTATATAGCACGTGAGGGCAATATGGTGATCCGGTTAATATGGTCACATTCTTATAACTCAAAAACTACAGCTTTGTTTGCATAGATGTCTGTGATACGATAGCTCTTCTTTGCTCAATTTAATAATTAAGGGTCAAAAGGGCGCTGCTTTATCGACGCCATTTTGACAGTTGACATTATAGTAAATATTTTCGTCGAATTTAGTATGGTGTAGTGTATTTTTTTTAATAGATTTATTGAAATGTTCCTAATAATTTCCAAAACTTGTTTATTTATTTTTTATAAATATATTTGTTATATTATACAAATTTGTGTTTTCATTTCCGTCCTCCTAGTTTTGGTTTTAAAAAGCGATAAAACTTACCTTACCTTATACGAGTATCTACGTAATTTAATTCTCTGTCTATTATTGTAATACCCGAAAAGGGTAGTAAAGCTGTTAAGTAAAGTATAGTTACAGCCTATACACGTCCCACTGCTGGGCACAGGCCTCCCCTCATTTCTGAGAGGGTTTAGAGCAAGGAAGTGTCCGCCGCGCTGCCCCAATGCGTGTTGGCGAACTTCACATGTCTTCGAAATATATATTTTTTCCTTATTCCTCAGACATGCCGGTTTCCTCACGATGTTTTCCTTCACCGCCGAGCACGTGGTAAATCAGCACTTAAAATTGCAATTAACAATTTTATTGGTGCCGGCGGGGATCGAACCCGGGTTACTCGCGTTCTGTTATATTTACAGTAAACCTTGTTCATTTCAAATTCAAACCGTCAAAAGATTATAAAATGCATCATATGCAATGCGCAATGCGGCAACTGAGATATTAATACTGTGAGGCATTCGGACTTAGTCCTCGGAGGTAATAGCGCATCCGTAACCTTCTTCACAAATGTCCATGAACTGAGGAATAAGGAAAATTTACTTATTCCTCAGTTCATGGATTAATTTACGAAGACATGTGAAGTTGGCCAAAATTGCACTAAACAATTTCATTGGCGCCGGCTGTTATGTTTACAGCGAGCGTTAACCATCTGAGCTACCACGGCTCTAATAGATAAGCTGTTAAGATACATATATGTATAACATATTTTTAATTAACGTCAAATGTAACACTTAACTTACAATAAATATTTTGAATTAGAGTTTGAATTAAATAGGTATAAAATACCCGCTACTAACCCAGAGGATTTAGGATGAATTTAAAATTTTAAAATAACATTTGAACATAAATATATTTGTGGCTTATTGGTCCGTTGACTTATAGGTGCTAGTGAGAAAGTTTCGCTTTAGACTACTTCTATGGGCAGGGTCATTGTTTAGATTAAAGCATATTAAATATAGTTAACGTGTAGTGATGGTGTAAGAATATCTACTACTTATCCCATATCATCCCGTGGCTGTCGTTATATGTGACAGAGGGGAATAAATCAGGAGATGGGCAGTAGCGTCTTCCTAATGACAACTAAAAAAAAAACTGCGGTTGCCAACCGGCTTGCCAAGCGTGCCAACTGTGGCAAATATCCCCTCTATGAGAACCACAGAAATCTAAATAATAAGGCAATATTTTGATTTCTGTGGAGACAACCTTTGTGGGGGCCTACGTTCAGCAGTTGACTCAACAGTAGAGTTCAACGTGATGAACGTGAACGTTACGGTAAGGGTAACCGGTTAACGTGTTACGTGGTAGAGCCACGCTGCTACCATATTATTGCTGCAGCATGAATGGGTTGACCAGACCCGGGGTAGGACCACGCTTTCACAGAATATCAGCGTGAAACAGTAGAATAATGCTGTGTTTAGTTCGGTGAGTATAGATAACCGGAGACCGTTTTTACTGGTAATGAGGCATTCCATATCAGTCCTCAGGGGTGAAAACGCATCTGCATTTTGTGTCTTAATTGAGGATAGATGTAGATGTCTATTATATAGTCCGGTGCATCCACTTGCACCATAAGGACGAGAAACTTACCGATACCACGGAAGGCACCGCAACCCCTCTCGCAGGCCTCCTGCGAGTTGAATACCCCAGTGTTCCTGCACGAGACCCCGGAGGCCGCATTCTCGTGCACCACGCATTCGTGCCGATCAGTGTCCAGGTACCACACTATACTCGCTCCAGAGCATTCCTCCAAAATGGGCGACACTTGACAGTTTTGTGGTATCGCTTCAACCTGTTGGAACGAATTATTTAGTATTTTGTTGGTAACAGAGTTCCATTTGTATTTTCCTATGTGGTATAAAAAAATGGGCTGGGTTTAAATTAGACTCAGTATCAACGGAAATTATTCTGAATTTAATTAAAGAGAAGTGCTCGTCTCAAAATAAAGAGCAAACCGCGTGCAATCCCGACGGGGCATCAAGCAAATTTTAATTGTAATTTTAAGTCTAGATTTACCATCTGCTTGGCGTTGAAAGAAATTATTTAAGAATATACCTGTATATTTGTAAAGTTAAAAATATTTCAAGAACAGTTTAGCAACTAGAACTGGAGCAGCGGAAAGCTCCTATAGCAGTGTAAATGTTTTTTTTTTTTGGATATTTTCCATAGATTACTGTAACAGATTACATTTTAGGTAAGCTTAAATACTTGTGTAAGTGAGTAACTCACGACATTAGTCGAATTTATAGTCATTGGACGACTGTCGCTTCAAATTTTAATGGTAAATAATTCACTTCATTAGCTCATCATTACTCGCGTCAATAATAACATATTCGTAATTCCGTAAGGAATACTTATTTAGTTCTTAAAGGTGTGGTAATACCAGTCGACAAGAATAAAATTTGATTCTTCCGTCAAAATTACGTATATTAAATAATTTAATATTAATTTTCTAGGCCCTCCACGTTGTTTTGTGTCCAGCAGTATGATATATACGGTGTTATTTTTCAAAAAGTAGCCAAATTTTCAACTTAAGTTCAACTATATATATAATGATAAACTATTATTGCAATTTTTGAAAATATGAGTAAATAAGGTTTCTACTTTTATAATTATCCTAAATTTAATGTGATTCATGAGGAACAACATTTTTGCCTACCGATCGACTCTTGCAAATGTGTGCGTGCGCAGTAAACTCAGTTAAAATAATGCATTACCAAGCATTTTGAATTTAAAAGATAAAAGGGATAGAATGTTTGAGATCTTTTTTTAATTAATTTTTCTTCACAGTTTGCTTAAATATTAATTATTCTGAACCTTCTCTGCAAATTTGGCCGGTTATTGCAAAATAACCCTGCATATAGGCTGCACCTTTTTTTTTTTGAGTAAATGAATTAAAAATAAAATGCACAAATGATAAATCTTGTTGAAGATTTAAAGAAATTGTAAAGCAATTAACCCTTATAAATAAAAAGAATTACAGCCTTTTACATACACATTAAGGCACAAATGTATACTGTGTAAATGAAACATTGTGTAAGTAACTAGTAAATATTCTTAATATTTACCGGAGCAGTGGTTGTAGTTGTTGTGGTGGTTGTGGTCGTGGACGTCTTGGGCTCAGCTTCTCCGGTTCGGCAACGTTGCTCGCAAGCCTCCAAGCTCTCGAAACTGCGCAACAATTTTAGCATCAATTAGGAGTAGATAACCAAAGCATTCCAATAACATTTATTTGAATAATATTAGAGCGGTCATAGTTCACCTGATGGTAAGGGACTGCTACAGCCACAGAAATCGGAGACCAAAAAGAACCCCCTTCCCTAATAATAACACAATAGAAGTCGCATAGGCGTGTGACCTTGTCACCGCTATAATGTGTTGACGAACATCATTCACCATTTTTTGGTTTAATTGCGCGGCGAACGTCGTACGTGTATTTATGTTATTATAATGGTAAACTGCAGCATAATCAGTAGTAAAAACTCATCAAGGACGTGTAATTCAACTAATAAAGGCATTCATTTCATCGGTAAGTTGGTTATTTACTAATTATCGTTGTTTTAACTTTCATACTACTTTTACTTTTCGTATTGTACAATTACCATTGCTGCTTTTGTTCTACCGTAATCTAACGCGATGCACGGGACGTTGACAAGCTCGCCAAGCAATGTAATGTGAAACATTACATATCATTGTGCATTTTGTATGTTTATTATGTTTATAATACGGCTGCAGGCATCGGTCGCTTTTAGCGACCGACGCATTAAATGCGTATGTGTTAAGACGTGGCAACATCGGTTTTGGAGGTAATCGAGTACTAACTCATTTCTATTGTCTTATTATTACGATTTCTGTGGCTGCATCCCATGGACACATGCAACCAACTCCAAACAAGGGTGGTCACAGATATGTTGTCACAAGGTCTAAGATGAAATACCTGGTACCTACCAGGTATTTCATCTTATCCAATCCGTAATTTACTTACTCTCTTATCCTTCAAACCAGAACTCAGATGTTGGTTCACAGCAACTTGTTGACAGAAATATGGGAAAAGGTCTACTTTAAGTGGACTCAAGTCATCGCAATAGCACTGCAAGGGTGCAAGTGATATACAAGAATAGCATTGGAAGAGCCCCGGATGTGTTTCGAACGGAGATTCCGAGATCTCTCTACTGCATTGATGGTAACAGTAGTGAGATTTTAGTCCGGCATAACCCATCCACTACGTCATTAAGTATCTATAAGGTTTTCTCTACCTAACTTCCTTTTCTCTTTCTAACCACATATCCTTCAAAATCATGAATTTTGGAGAATATGTGGCTATTTCATGCATACCGATTATCGTTGCCTTCACAGCCGCCGTACGTGAACTGGCTACAGCTGTCGGTCACAGGGTCGTAGAACCACCGCATTAACGACTCGTCACACGGGCCAGCCCGCATCGGCAGTTGACAAATGTCTGAAACAAGACATGTTATTGTGAAGTGTGCTTTAGACAATGGTGATATATACTATTCATGTCCAAACAAAATAGAACTGTCAAACTAATAGTTCGCTTCGTATTTAACACTAACTTCAAACGCGTTGTGAGGACTGTGAAGAAAAAATTTAAACAATTTATGTAATGTTATGTTAATTTTAACGAAAATGCTGAGATTTTTTTTTTAATTTTGCATTCGTATTGGTACTTTTTTTTAAATAAATAAAAATTAACAAATCTTAAATGGTACACGCAGCCATGTTATGTGTTTTTTTTTGTAGAATTTGCTACACCAAAAATCGCTAAAAGCGCCAACACGCATTGGGCTAGCGAAATAGACTCTTCTACGTCAAAACTTTCTAATAAACGAGAGCCAGGGTTATATAGTGGAATGTACTAAAATAATGAAAAAAGAAGGATAAAAGTTCAATTTTAGAAATATTTATAGGCCAAGAAGTCATCACAGCCTATAAATGTATACATGCTATAACTGTAAATATAGCCTTACCTTGCGCTGTTGCACAGTAATACTGGCAATGCTCCTGGCTGGGGAAATTGTTCCTGTTGCCGCCGCAGCCGCCGTACTCGAACGAGGTGCAAGTGCCAAGTGAAGAGTCGTATCCCCATCGGGTCTCCATTTGATTGCACGGTCCGGGATCAAGCTCCAAGAAGCAGAAGTCTAGAATAAAAAGAGTTTTAATGGGAATCTCTTTTCTGTGTAATGGAGACTTTTTCATTAATCCACAAAATAACATAGCTCGACATGAGTACCTTCCTTGCACAAAACATAACATAACATAAACTATAAAAGCACATGCATGTGTACACAAAAACAATCGTAATTAGTAGATTTAACAGATCGTTGAATCGTCGTGAGATTTTCAACAAATTATATCATTAGAAATAAAATATAAACAATCTGAAATAAGAATATCTATCGTAAAGCATACGTTGATAAATTTATTATATCTATACGTCACATTAATATTTAGTGCATATCAGACCACACTAAACATTGAAACTTAGATTGTGTGCGAATAGGACTTACGTCCTCTGGTTTTAGAATAAAGTTAATTCTGTATATGGCCTGCATAGATATGTATCTGTATCGAATGCCGTAATTTAACAAAGATAATATTCATTTTATGAACATCATAAACAGTTATGTAATTACCTACCTACTTACTACTCACGCCTATCACACAGAGGGGTAGGCAAAGACTACAGACTTCCATTTGGCACGATCCTGACACATCTTTCTCGCCTCCTCCACATCCATATACCTATATATTATATCCCTGCCTTGCCTCAAAAAGCACGCTTAGCAGACGGAATGACAATTCCTATATCGTAGTCTCGCATCTTAGGTGTTGCTGCCCGGCATATGTTCAGTTACGTTACGATACCCACGGCACAAAATGGGGTGTTGTGTTTAGATTTTGTTACGTCGCTATTACACGGCACCAATATCATAAATGATAGGAGGCCTGTGCCCAGCTGTGAGACGCGTATAGTCTGTAACCTAACTTAACTTAATGGACACTAAGTGAAATGTATTTTTTAATATTTGTAATAGAGTCTAATATATCTGCCCGATCTCTTTAATATAAACTCAAAGCTAACTGTTAATTGGCTGCTAGTAAAGGTCGAAGCACCTGGGCTAGTAATGCACGATATAGGCCGTTCTGAAAATTGGTGTATTCGTGTCCAGATACAGACCCTAACACACATATTCTATTAAGGAATACATAATTAAAAAAAACCTGGAAATGAGGTGATCGCTACCCAGTTCCTATTATCTATACAAATAAATAAAATAAAATTGAAGTGTCCTGTTTGTAATGTCAAACAGCTTTTTACGAAATGAAGATTACGATTTATTTTTTACGAAAATATATAAAATATATATTTTGTCTGTCTATCAGTTTGTTCGTTCCGGCTAATCCTCGAAATGACAGGGCCGATTTAGACGGTACTTTCACTGGCAGATAGCGGATGTTATAAGAGATAATTTAAGTTCGGAGATAAAATAAAAAAAAGCCCATGAAATTCACTGGTAATAATTTCCACGCTGACGAAGTCGCGGGGAACAACTAGTTATTCATAAAAATAACTGTACAGAATTATTGTCACATTATATAAGTATGTTTAAAAAATAATTCTTTAAATAGTTCTTCCCAAGTCAGATGTGAATCTATATTAGATATAGAAAAATATTATAAATTTTCAAATGTAAATTCTAAAAGCCCAGCGATACCAGGTTGTGTGTAATTCACAGTGTGGATTTATTAACTTTTGCCATTACCAATATTTAAAATTTGAGTTCTGCGTTTTCAGGCACATGGCAAATTTCTGAGCAAGGTGTACCTAAGTTTTTAAAATTGTAACCAACAATTTAATTTCCGCTGCCGGGAATCACACTCGGTTTGCTCATATATAAAGCGATCACTTATATCATAAGCTACCACGACTCTTCTACATATGTTTGCAAACTTTAAAATTACCTTATCACCTATAAATCAATGGGACAGTAGCATAGAAAACGTGGTAGAGCCATGCTGCAGTTATATTAGTAGTATAACTGCACTGCACTGTATAGTTGTAGCACGAATGGGTCGGATTGACCGGGGAAGGACCACGTTCTCACAGAATACCAGCGTATAATAGATGTCTATGGGCCACAGCAACCACTTACCATCAGGTGGACTGTGTGCCCGTTCGTCACCTTATGCTATAAAAAAATGGGTTCGAATCTGTCATTCGTCTACTGAACAACTGACAAAAGCATTTCGATATTAGTCGCTGCGGCTGTAAAGGACGAGGAGAACAAATAAAACTTAAAACATGCATAATTTTCTTCAAGTAATATCCTACAGGCCGATCGGTTACGGCGGCCTACCTTAGCGGAGATGAGCCATCGGCGCAGGCCAGGATTATAGTGCCCACGTCTTAGCGCAAGCACAGGTGCGCTCTCTATTCCCTTACTCTCATAATCCGATGGGACGGTAAACCGACACGACCGGAGAGAGATCAGGGGCAGGACCAACGGCTTTACATACTTTCCGAGACACGAGGGTGAGACACCGCCAACTTCCTGACTCCGTGCAGCTACTGAGAATTTATAGATGGAAAAACTCAATAATCGATTTTTTGGCCCGACCCGGGAGTCGAACCCAGGACCCCATGATCACCAGTCTCACTACTACAACCACTTAACCAACGAGGCACTCAAGTAGAAGTCTTGTTCAAGTAATTCCGTAACAAATACCCACCAGATCTATAAGATTCAGGTGCGGCCGGTTGAACGGTGGTGGTGGTGTCTGGCTTTGCGGCGCATCGACTCTCGCACTCCTGCTGCGTCACGAAGTTGTTGTCATTGCCACCGCAGCCGCCGTAGTAGAACTGTCGGCATCTTGGACAGAAATTGTTCTATTATTAAAAAAAATAACTTTCCATTTGGAAGATATTCGTAAGTCCTAAAAGTGTACATTTCAATATGCCTCCCCGTTTTTTTTAAATACCTGTGTGTAAGTTATAGTAGAGAAGAAATGAAGATATCGTTTTTCTAAATTTCACTCGATGATTATATAAACACTTCATAAGAATAAAGATGTTCATACTTTAAACACTATGAACAAACATAAGGTATGTATATAATTTTACAACAAAATCCCCGAAGATGTACAAAATTTCTTAAGTTTAAATGTTTTATTCAAGAAAAATTGTACATAATGGTTATTATAATATAAAACAATACATAAGGTTCTATAAAAACTAATTCAAAAATTGTTTATAGTGAGAGGCGATCGAATGGCATCCATATCCTTTTTATTCGTGCTTTAATTATATTAAAACTCTGGTAGATATTGAATAAGTGAAACGAAATTTTATTAAATATAGGATCCCAAGCAGATGGTAGCGCCCATCCATCTTCTTTATTGAAATCAGAAGTCAACACCTCAGTCCCCCATGTGACAAAAAGTTAAAATTGAACATGATAAATTTCGTAATATTAATTTCGTTTCGCGTTCACTACTTATCAGCATTTAAATTGCAATAAACAATTTGATTGCTTTCGGCGGTGACCGAGCTTGCTCGCTAACACTGCTTCGCCTGTCATTAAACTACTATGAAATTTACATACAGCGCTTAGCCCCTGAATTATAACAAAGCTGAATAAAGCGCAAGTTATACAGAGTTATACAGCGGCATAAGGCGAAAGCACGGCACAGGGGCGGCGCAAGAGTGAAACGCTAAACTCGACATGCCTGTGCCCGCGGCTCCACATTATCGCCGTGAAGCTCCGTGAACAGGCCTGAACGTGAATGTGGATGGTTTTCGCGGGATTCATGCGCGTTCACGCCTGTTCCCCGATCAGAGTCGGCATTTTGTCCCGCGACAAAGGGTTCACGCAAACTTCGCGCGCGTTCGCGCGTACACGTCCACATTCACGGGCCCGTGCCCGTTCGTTTCGGACTACAAACACAGGCGTTCGGACGATGTATTTTAGTCATACATCATCTTTTTCACTTAAAAATTTTTGCCGCGAGTGATATGTTGCCACAGCTAATAAAGTTATTGCAGCAGCGTTTTCTACGTCCGTTTCGCGGCGGGTTTCACGAACGATTGTGACTTGTGAGCATCCCGTGAATATGGAAGGCACGACTTGTGCCGTGAATTTATAGGGTGAATTCGCGCGTGAATTCACGGCGATAATGTGAAGTCGCCATCATACATTTTGTATGAAAAAGTTATGAAGCGGCACCATGCCTGTGGCCTTTGCCTTAAGCCGCTTCGGTATAATTTGTGCCTTAGGACGATCTATTTGATAATAATTAATAAAATGTAACAAATATAAAGGTATTTTCAACAGCACTGCACTTACCTCAATTCGGTAGTGTCGTAGTACCACCTCTCCCTGTAGTCAGCGCAGTCACCAGTCACCGCTGGTAGCGTACACATGTCTTGCTCTACAAACATTAATTACAGAAATAGTAAAGTTTGTTGTATATATTTATTATATTTACGGCGCCTCTACACGTTGGCCAACACAGTGGCGAATGTAGTGGCGAATATATTGGCCGAGAGTTGGTGACAGCGTCCACACGTTGGAAGGTCGTTCAGTTTACTTCGGTTCGGGCCAATGTGCGGGCGAATTTATTTTATTTTAGACGACTGCTCCGTGGCGCAGTGATTTGGCAATGAGTGGCTATGCCAGGGGTCGCGGGTTTGAATCCCGCACAGAACAAGTATTTGTATATCCTACAAATAATTGTTCCGGGTCTGGATGTGTGTCCTTGTGCAATTTATGTTTGTAAGTTGCCTCCGCGATACAGAAGAAAATCCAAGTGTAACAGTGTGTAAAAAGGGGGGTAACGTTTTTATAAAATAATTATAAAAGAATAGTGAATATTAATGGGACTGTAAATAGATATACGATATACGATTAGCTTTATTTATTCCTTACATGCATCAGAAACTGGAATAAATACCATTAATTAGAACTTTAATTATTTTAAAGTTAAAGGAGTTATAATCGATTAGTCTACGTTTTAAAATTGGGTTTTGTTTTTAAAGTTTATCAAAAAATGTACTTGATTTTCTATCAGACATTTGATGTTGGTATATAAAAAAACACCTTATAATTTATTTGGTAATTTAATTATTTTTTGAGAAAGACAAAAACTATAGCAATAAATATAATTAACACTGACTTAATAATGGGTACTAATTATAACTTAGAACATAAATGAAAAACTCATGACAAGGAAAGTGGCTCTGGACCATGCTTTGCGGCAGTCTGTGGAGGAGGATGATCAGTAGTGGACTTGTGAAGAGCTGTAATGATGATGATGATTTGAAAACTTGCACGATTAAATTATAAGAAATCGACGCTTTTTATATGGGATAGGGTGACAAACGAGCACACAGTTCACCTGACCTGTGGCCCACAGACATCTACATCTATCCTCGATTACGAATCAAAATGCAGATGCGTTGTCACCCGTGAGGACTAAGATGAAATGCCTCGTTTCCTTTAAAAAGTGTCTCTGGTTCTCTACACTCACTATACGAAACACAGCATCATTAAGCTACTATTTTACATTGATATTCTGTGAGAGCGTGGTCCTTCCCCGGTCGAACCGACCCATTCGTGCTACAACTATACTTCTAATATAACTGCATGGTTCTACCACGTATAAACGACGTACTTAATTTTTTTTCATTTTAAAATTGTTCTCGTAATAATCTGATTGTAAATAAATGTTCATTATTATTTTTATAAATAGCTTACCGATTAAAACAAATGTTTAAAAATAATTAAATCGAGCTAATTAAAGTAGTAGGAATGTTTAAAGTTGAAATTCACACTAAAAGGCTGGTAATTGGGTCATCCACCCTACAAATCGTGAATATAAAATTTTAATCAGATGCGTGTAATCACTCTGAGAGCTTGTAGCAAACTAAACTCGCGGCCAACGTGTGGACGCGGCGACCAAACTCTGCCAACAATCCTTTGATCTTTTGTAAAAAACCGACACCACACGGATCTCGCGCCAACTTGCGGGCCATCGTTCCAATACATACCAATGAAGCCCAAACACCCCGTCTACACGTTGGCCAATGCTATTGGCCACTACATTCGCCACTGTGTTGGCCAACGTGTAGAGGCGCCGTTAAACCACAATTGTTATAATGTACCATCAAGGTTATTAAAATGCAAAACCTAAAATCATGCTTCTAAAATATTAGATAGTTTTGTTCTCCCATAAAATGTTATTTTTGTTATTAACACCACAGAATAAAATTTAGTTATAAATTAAAAACAAACAAACAAACTACAGAACGTGCAATGTAAAACTTTTTTTTAAATTATGTATTTAAAGGAAACTATTATTTATCTTAAGCGGTATAGTGTTACGGTAAATTATTTAGAGGGAAACATTCTCTAAGAATGTTTATTGTATAAGGCAATAGGCGGACTTATTATTAATCTTGTGTAACATAAATTGAACTAAATCTAATATAATATGTCTAAAAATTAGAAACACATAAAGTAAAATATCGTTTCATTGGGCTAAAGTTCGACATGCAATTAAAAATTAAATTTATCGTCTTCAAATGCAGGCCAAACTACTAGTAGAGAAAGAAGTTTGTTTGCACAGCATTATCTCTCGAAGCCTATTCGCTAATTTTGTTAAAATTAAAATGATCACCGACTCCCACAGTCACTCTGTAGTACATATAGCGTCGTATGTTTTATGAGCCGTAGTAGCTCTCATAGAAAAGCTATATAGCATACGACGCAATGTACTACAAAGTGCGGAATAGGCCTAGTGTGACTTCAATTAATTGTAATAGAGTTTAAATAATTTTTTTCCAGAAGGGAAAATTTTATTCGCTTCTGTTGATTTTCGAATGAAAAATTTTGCATCTAGGTACCGCATTTATCACTTACCGTAGGCGCTTGGGCAAGAAGTCATACAACTCTGCTCGGAATCGAATCTATTCTTGTTGCCGCCGCAGCCGGTGTAGTAGAAGGGCATACAACGGTTCTCAGTCTGGCTGAACGACCACATCGCATGCTTATCCGTGCAGTTGCCAGCCTCTTGTGGTAGTACACACTCAGCTGTGTGTGTGACGCGTTTGTTAGGAAGATTAGAGGCTCCATTGACTTCAATTTCACATTATTAACTAATCAATATATAACGTTGAAACTCCTGATTTTTTTCGAAGGATTTGTGTTCTTGATAGTAACAATTAAGTCAAAGAACGTAATTTGAAATTTCAGTCAATGGAAGCGAAAGAATTGTTAAACTAATTAATAAAAAAATATTGTGATTAATGATGAACGCATACCACAAAGTTAATTACCATCACCAAATAACAAAGGTTGTTAAACAAGAAAATAATAATGTTATAGGGTAAAAAGAGATAGTAAGATGAAAATAACTACCAATACAAACTTCATGCAAAATACAAACACCATAATTATCCATTCATTAAAGTAAAAAATGTGCGTGTTGGTATAAAAATATTAGGTTCTAAAGTTGTTTACCGTATGGTGTGTAAAAGATCCCATGTAACCCATGAATGTCGTAAGATGCGACGGTGGAATATTTCTGTCTTTGGAATAACCCATCTCTGACGTTTAGACGGTAATAACTGGTTAGAGAAACCGTAGAAGTTTTTAAAAAAAGTTTAATTTGTTAAAATTTTCGCCTCTTGCTTTAGCTTATTTGAACAGTTCAAGAAATTGAAATATCTGGCAAACGGTGAAAGGATTTTCATCAGACTATTGAATCTTTCAGTCGTTATATGACTCGTATACCAGTTTTTTTCCTAGTGGCAACCTCTACCTTAAATGACACCCTGGTACCTTTACATGATATTTTGATTCTGAGTTTGAGTTTAAATTTGAAATTGTCTCTGAATACCGGTGTAGGGTTCCGGCTTTGCAGCGTGGAGGTCTGCGCAGAGCTATTGCGCGGATGGTACCCTTGTGGTGCAGTAACTATTGTTCCACAGCTACAAGCGTTGTGGTTATTTTTATAGATTCTTCTAGAATATTTAACTCTACACGGAGTCGAAGAGGAGAGGATAGAAATAATACTTCAAAGTTATTTTCATTACGTTTCTTAGTCCACGTTACGACATCCACACAGTGAATGGAGACTGTCTAGACTCAGACCGCACACGACATGTAATAAATAAATAAAATGACCACTAATACACAATGACTTACCCTGCGGTTTGCCTGGTGGATTGCAGCGTTGCATACAGGCGGCCTCGGAATTGAACCTGTTAGCGTTGCCCTCGCAGCCGCCCCATATGAATTGCTCGCAACGTCGGCTTTCCGGATTGAAGCCCCAGCGGCCGAAGGTTCCGGCACAGGGCCCTTGCTCAATAGGTAGCTTGCATTGATCTGAAACGACCAACACCACCATAAGTAATTATTAAGTATGCTATTAGATAGAATACAATAGAATAGTCAATATTTTAAGTTTCCACTGGTTTGAAAAAAAAACCTCTGTCCTGGGAAGAACCAGCAAGAAACCCAGCGAGACTTTTTTTAAAATAAATTTTACAATGTCAAAGGTCACAAAATATTTACAAAATTTTTTTTTAGAAACAGCTTGGAAGCGACTACCTCATTTCCAGGGGGAAGGATATGATTGTATAAGACAATACGGAGATCTCAATAACAAAGAGCGTAATGATTCAAATCCGTCAACACACCTTCACTCCTGGCGGGCTCGCACTGCGCCTGGCAGAGTTCGCGACTGTCGAAGTTGTTCGCGTTGCCGAGGCAGCCGCCGAACACGAACTGGCCGCACACTTCGCGCTCCGTGTCGAAGTACCAGCGCAGGTGGTAGCCCAGGCACGCGCCCTTCACCTTGGGCAGTTTGCACGCATCTGTGACAAAATTGTTGAATTAGACGGATTCTTAAATTGGGACATGATTTTCGGAGATTATTAAACTGCCATAAACATTACGTTTCGATGTTCTATAACTTTGGTGTAAGCACTCATACACACAGCAGCTTCTTAATGTAAACTTCAAAAAAAGTGTCAAAAGAAGGTTTTACAAATGACTAATTAGTACAGTACGGATCAGATTAAAGCTACGCGCCGCGTTTTCGGATGGCCTCGCACATTTGTACGTACGTTCTGTGACTTTTACAGTTTTTTCCAATCACTGCTGTGAAACGGTATAGTGACATTGATCAGTCGGAATGCTACGGGAAAAAATGTTGTAATCGCCTGTTTATTGACAGAGGAAGAAGAAAATAAAATTCGCAGAAAAGAAGATTCAAAATTATTCGTAAGTTTTTTTATATCGAACAGTCGAACACACAGAGCTTAAAGACCTTGACAGTAAAATATAATTGTAAATGGAAATGACTCCAGGGGAATACCACTCTGAATGTAAATTATAATGTGTAGTATATAGATACATATACTAACATTATTTTAGTTATTCAAAAAAGGTTTTAAATTGTATATCGAGAGAACAATTATTTTCTTTAAAATAACTTGTTGCTTTGTATATGTATATAAAAACATTTTTTTCTACTGCCGAGCAAAGCTTGGTCGAACTTTACCTTTATTTCTTCTTCAACCTCAGCCTATAACCGTCCACGGCTGGACTTGGGCCTCACCCGTTGTTTGGAGGATTTGTCTTTATTTACTATTATTTATCTATATATAATATTATCTATTTCTGTTTCTGTTTCATAGTAAAATATTAATAAATCCAGTGTAATCACCAACAAAATTTAAGAGTTAAAAAAGTGTTGAAAATTTGTATCTTTAATCTTAAATGAAATAAATCTATAAGAAAGCCCCCTGATGAAGCATATATATGCAGGTCAAAAAAAGCGTATTTTATTGAGACCATTTTGTCCAAAAACAAACCTTTAGGAGGCGGCTGGACGCACACATCCTCGCACTCCTCCTTGCTGGTGAATCGGTTTCCGTTGCCCTCGCAGCCTCCGTACCAGAACCGCGAGCAGCCGCCATATTCCATATCGTAGTACCAGTACACGCTGTAGTTGCGGCATGGACCACGGTCGGTGGAAAGGCTGCAAGCCGCTGGGTAAATTAAGACATTTATTAGCAATGCTATAACCATGCAAATATGCAATATGGTTAGATATTGGCAGGAATAAAAGTGGAAGAGGCAATATGTAAACTTTTTATATATATAGGAAGGTAGTTAAATAGAATTAATTTACAATCAAAATACACGGACCACAGGCAATCAACTATAAATATTACTGAGACTAATTTGATGGCAGATAATTTCCACGAATTAATTATCCTAATAGTCGAGGATGAGCTAGTAGCGGGATACAACAAGTGAACCGTGCCACGCCAGAGCCAAGACTGCTTTAACGGCGGCCGCTCCGTCCGTTTTATACAATCGAGACAAGTAGCTACACGGGTGCCACTGCAGGTGCAATGCGCAGGTGTGCGGTGCACGTGTTGTTTAAAATAATTCCGACTACCCACAGAGGCGCTGCGACATATACTAGACACTGGCAACTGAACAAGATCTACGATGGAACCCCATATTAACGAACGATGCCGCTCGACCTGCGAGCTGAGTGATAGTATTGGAAAATCCTTCACAGAATACTTTTCAGCAAAGTCTAATATCAAGTTTATTTTAATTTACGCAAGAAAACTTATTAGACGAATGGTCGATGAAACAGATCATTGGCTGTAGCAGACAAGACAGGCTGGAAAAGGTGTAAGATTTCAAAAGTAATCATAATAAATAGTGACAAACCATTGTGAATTACTGACAACGAGAATTCCATCTTATACTATATTTGCTGCCTGTTCTGTTTTATCTATTCAACTGGTAAAAGAACACGCTCTCACTGATTACCAGCGTAAAACAAATAAAAATAGCAGCTGTTTTGTTTCGTACATACAAGATACGATAATCCTTATTTAAGCATCTCGACCTTCAGGGCTGCCAGTATAATATCTGCTTAAGTCTGTAGACTGTGCTGTAGACTGGATTCGCATTTGTTCGGAACGAACTTCTCCGACTCCGTTGAGAAGTTGGAGATGAAGGCCGCGTAGGAAGGAGTACCCTGGGTTGTCCATAAAGGAAGAGAGAGAGCAAAACCGGCTAGTAATGGTGGGCATGCAAATATGTTATTATTTTATAGAATAAGGGTGACAAGCCAGCACACAGTTCACCTGATGGTAAGTGGACGCTGTGGCCCATAGACATCTTCATTTCTCCTCGATTAAGAATCAAAACGCAGATAAGTTGTCACCCCTGAGGACTATTATGAAATGCCTCGTTTACAGTAAACAAAAGGTTTCCAGATCTCTACACTCAACATACGAAAGACAGCAGCATTAAGCTACTATTTTACGCTGGTGTTCTGTGAGAGCGTGGTCCTTCCTCGGGCGAGGCAACCTATTCGTGCTACAACCATAATATGGCAGCGTGGCTCTACCACGTATAAAAATATGTGCGTACGTGTTCCCATTACTCTGTGGACATGCAGCTACAGTGGAACAATTAGATTATGAACTATGAGATTTATTTAAAGAACTATGGGATTTGAGTTAGTACGGTTCAGATATAACTTGTCCTTGTGATGTAGGTTTGCTAAATACCTTGTCTATTTTCCGGCGCGTCGGTACAGCCAAGGAACTTCTCGCCCTTGGCTTCGGTTTTTCCGTCAGGACAGCAGCCGTATTTGCTAGAGCCGCAGTCGCAGCCAAACTGGTCAGGACCGGCGGCCTCTGTGACTCCATCCCCGCAGCAACCGAACTCCGACTGTTGGCAGAGGCAGCCCTGCAAGTTCGGCCCCGTAGCCCTAGTTACACCGTCGGGGCAGCAGCCGAACTGGTACGCGTGGCAATCACAGCCTTCGTAGTCGTAGCCTTTAGCGTTAGTGTGCCTTGAAAGAAGGAGGATTTGTAAGTGCTACACATTAAATAAATAAAAAATTACGGAGTTTATCGCGTTCAATTTTTAATTATTGGGTGCGTTTGGCAGAAAAAAGCGCTAGCAAAATTTTATATAATTGTAAGCAAAATGGCGATCGTAAGCGGTAAGCGCTGTCAAATCGTAAGTAGCTATTTTCCTCCAGGACACGATGTTAGTTTTAACCGGGGGAACCTTACCTAATTTAAATATATGTTTGTAAAGTATTCATATTAAAAACTTACCGATCATGAATTTTTAATAACATGTATATGTTTATTCATGTCAATATATTACTTAAAACTAATATTGCACAAAACAACTTATAAACTCTACTTCAAAACAAACAAATTAAATAAGCAAAATGGCGGATTGTGTCAGCGCTACTGAAGTAGCAATCGTGTCCTAGCCGAAACCTATTTCAGCGCTTGTAAGCGCTTGCTAGCGCTTTTTTCTGCCAAACGCACCCATTGTTAATTCGCGACGTTTCGGGTGCTTTCCAGCACCCATGATCACGGCAGGTATACAAAAAGTACTCTGTGGTCACGGGGGACTGAGATTTATTTATTTATTTATTTTCCACTATACAATTATCTTTACAGGTTTATCACCTGATGCGATAATGTAGACAACTATTTTACCAACTCCAACTACATAGTTACAAGCTAATAATTTTCGATTACAGACATGTACTTATTGCTATTTCAAACACGTATCTATATCACATAAGGACCATAACTAATTTCAAACAGAGCTCTTACTATGAACCCACCCAGAGTACAACAAAATATATCTATGTCTTCTGCTATACGGTTGAGGATACGGAGGGCGCGCACATAGTTCACAGCATCATAGTTATGCACTTCGTGATGTTAAATGTTAAGATGACTGAAGTCCCGATGTCACTGTTAAACTCGGTGTACCTACAGCTTTTTTGTTATTGTTTATGGTCCGATCTGATCAGATCGGACGTCGGGAATTAAAAATAATTAAAAATAAGCGCGATAATATCCGTAAGGGTAGTTTTATTTAATGTGTAGTGTTCGCGTAAATATAAGAAATCATAAAGAAAATTATATACAATTAACTCTTACTAAATACTCGTCTTAAAACAACTTCTCGTTCTATGTTATTGCTTTACTTTACCAACATATTATCTTATTGTAAATTTATGAAAATATATGTTATAATCAATCTGTATCACGATTATTCACAGAATGTAATAAGTTCACGATGTGATTTTACGCTCATCGCCTAGAATTATCTAACATTTATGTACCCACAAATAGTTTGTATAATAGAAACATAACATTTAATGCACCTTGTTTAAGTTGATAATAATATTAATGTAACTTTGGTAATGTAATGTATTGTAATGTGTTAATTAGAATGCCATCAAAAACATAACTTGAAAAAAAAAACAAGTCTCGCAACTCAGTTCTTCTACCGTAAAAAGTTGTGAGGACCATGTAATAACAAGTCGGTTAATTTATTCAGGCCCTACTTAAGGGTCCCTCTGTTTTAAGTTATTACGTAATTAGCTAACCTAACAACATTTTACAGGACCATGGCAATGTTAAATGCGTCTTCAAAAATCTTATATGTTTCAAATAAATAGATTAAGTTATTGCCACCACACGGCAGTTTGTGACGCCTAAACACAAAAAGCTTTCTATAAATTTGCGGGGTTACCGGTCTGGGCAGCATCCAAATTCGCTGTACTGACAACCGCAACCCTCGTTGGCGGGTCCACGTGCGATCGTGATGTTGTCTGGACAGCAGCCGAAGTGTGCGTACTGGCAGCCGCAACCTGGATTGATAATTAATGAAAATATTCTTCATCTATAAAATATTCTTCATCCATAAAATTGAAGTGCAAACTAGCTTACAATTACATTACAAACAGTACTGTCTACAGCAGCCTATAAACACCTGCAGACAAATTAAAAAAAGAAGGATATAGGTGCATTGTCACCTCTGAGGGCTAAAAAGGAATGGCTCACAGTCTGTCACTGGCTCTTCATACACTTTAGACCAGATCACAGTAGCGCAATCATTGCAACCGCAGTTCTTTATTGTTTAGTTGTTATGAGTACGCTGTTGTCAATCTCCTGGTTTGTTCCTCCGCTTCATATTACGACATCCACCGGACGATGTGGGATAGCGTATATTCTTACATAGCAGCTCAATGTTGCTGTGTTCGTATGGTGAGTGTAGAGAACCAGATACCCTTATTTTACTGGAAACTAGGCATTACACATCTTAGTACCCAGGGCTGACGACGCATTTTGATTTTTAATCGAGGCTAGACGTACATTTCTATGGGTCTCAGCATCCACTTATCATCACGTGGACTGTGTGGACCACCAAATAAGCGAATAAGCTGTCTACGTTAAAGAAGATTGGCCAAGGGAAGGAGGATATTCATACTAATTTAAAACAAAAATGGACGGATATTCTCGCGAGTTAACGCGCGGTGGCTTTCAATCGCGTGAATTGTAGATAAATAAACGTAAGATTTATTATTATAATATTATATTATAGTCAATAATTATAAAGCCTACCCTCAAGGTGTGGTCCTTCAGCTGGTTTGTAGTTATCCGGACAGCAGCCGAAGGGATACTTCAGGCAGCAACCTTCATAGTCCGGTCCGTGTGCGGGTGTCTCGCCGTCCGGACAGCAACCATACGTCGATGAGTTGCACGTCATCACGCAGCCCTCCATTTGAGTGCCCTGAGCTAATGGGAGAAACTACGATTATGGTTCTAGTAATGGAAATGGGCAAACGTTAAAGGCGATCGCGGAGCCTACATGTCAATTAAAAAAAATAAAAAAACTTTACTCGTAATTCTTCGATACACTAAGTACTTCAGAAGGTATTATGTAATTTTTTTTTAAATTTTTGAAGACGGTTCTACTTTTTCTTAAAAATTTTATTTATATAATAGCGATAAGACATTTCAATCTTAATGTAAACACACTAAAGTAAGAAGTACAAGTAATCATTTAGTTTAATAATATACATTAAATTTACTTTATTTCAAAAATGTCCCGGTGGGTTTCGTGCTGGTTGTTTCCAGGACAGAGGTTTTTTCCAACCAGTGATAAAAGTAAAAAATGACTTACAATCATTATTCTTGTAGTCTATATTCAATAAAAATGATTCTTTTCTTTTCTTTTCTCTACCATTCTATTCTTTTCTATTCTGGACTATTAGATATGCATTAAGTACATGAACAAAGAGAACACATTTCATTTTTTATGTTTGCTTTATTCTTTCGAGTGTCTAAAAAATATTACAAGTTCAACGTACCAATTAGAATGCCATTTATTTATGTACATTAAAATCTCGATGCCCACCTTTAGTTCATAGTACTATTATTTATTCTGTGCCTTTAGGGATCATTTTTTTCTTTTTACTTATAATAGAACCACCTTCAACCTATTTAAAAAAGATTACAAAGAATACGACCTAAAAACTAGAAAATCGACAACTTTTGTGATACAATTAAAAGTTGCAAATTACATGATATAGCTATTTATTAATGGTGGTATCAATTACCCAATTACTAGACCATGTGAAAGTTTATTAATTTGTTGCTATACCTGTTGAAACGCCATCAGGACAGCAACCGAACTCGGTAGTGTTGCAAGGACATCCTTCATCGTTCGGTCCCATCGCTGCGGTCTGGTTATCACCGCAACATCCGAAATCGGAGAAGGCGCAGCCCGTCTCCTCTGTTTTGGGTTCTGGAAATTTGGATAAAACTAAGATTTTCGCAAATGATTTTTTTTCTTACGGTGATCTACGACTTCACAAAGGGATTTCTATATGTGGGGTTATATAGCGGGAGTAAATAATTTATTTCAAAATATCGTACAAAAGCTTAGATAGTTAAAAAGTCCGAATGATTTAACGCAAAAATCAACATTTTTATGTACCCTGGCATATCCATAGGCCATTGTTACGCGTGGATGTTTTAAGGCCGAATACGAAGAGAACTGGCGAAAATTAATGTATTTCTCTTGACTAGAACTTTGACCTGAAGTAATTCTAAGCTTTAAAACATTTTTGATGGTTTGTTCGGGTCCTTCACAAGGTGACCCTCATTTTAAAATTTTAAAATAAATGAATATACCAACAAATAAAAAAATGTTAAGAAATGATATATAAAATTATTGTTCTTCCAAAACTCTGTGAATTTTAATTTAGGAAAAATTCTTTTACGTAAAAATGTTTGTATTGTGATTCCGAAGGTACCTGCTATCTTTATTTTCGATACAAAATATTATTTATTAACATAATTCGTTTTAATTAAAAACACCTAATAATAGTATCGTATATTGCCAGATAAAAGTTTGCCGCTTCGACGTGTGACGTATGGTAACAACAGTCGATGTGTCTGTAGCGAAAATCGTTAATTTAGTGTTTTATACGCCTTTAAGTGACTATAAATGTAAATATGGGTAGGAAAAGAAATAAATGTTACCTAAGTGGTAAAACAAAGAGAGTTTATCGCATGAACGCTGCTCGAATGTTGTATTTTGAGGTTAATACTTATATTTTTGTAAGGTAATTTTTTGTTTGAGTGTAATAGGTTGCATTTTTACTCATTTACATTAGCCAAACTGATTATTTATACTTTTCTAGTTTCAAGTGAGAAACACTAAAAATGTAAATATCAAGACCCAGTCGGAAAAGAATGTACAGAGTAGTGCAAGCACAGAGACCGCAAATAATGTCATAGTCAATGTATTGTCCGAAAGCATGGGGTATGTATAAACAAAGCGTAGGTACTGGCGGCGCGTTTGCTGCGAAACGAGCAAGGTCATTCGCGTCGTATTCGGCCTTAAAGAGTCACCCAAGCTCACCCAAGTCATTGCACTGGTTACACATATACTTGGGTCTTCCTAGAGTCTTTGCCACTATGAATGATAGCGGGCATTAAATGTTCTCGAAATATTCATAATTTGACAGACATGTCCCACGATGTTTTCGTTTACGGTTAAGCTCGATGGGTTAAAACAGTAATAAAAAAACCCGACTTACCAAAAATTTTACCGGAAAGAGAAATATTCAAATAATAACGAAACATCATATGTCGAAATCAACCAAGCTGTATAGGCCATAGAGAGTGCTAAAGAAATAGACGTACATACAAACATACTAACACTCGAAAAACATTGCCCACCTCCTGGGGCTGGATGGTAATTAGCAAATAAAATTACAATTGACAATTCCATCTCTACGGGCAGGTATCAATTACGGTTTAGTATCTTATGTAGTGAATTGGAGTAATGTAGTATTTAGACCAGTTTTTCCTATTTAGTTGTTATTGGGAAGACGGTGTGGTCCATCTCCTGTTTCAGCTACGCTCTGTTGACTCTTAGTCTTGTATCGTCACCAAACCGCTATTTGACCTTACACACCATAGAGATAGTTACATATTGTTAAAGTTACCTTTTGCTTACACACCACATTTTGAACAGTACTCTTAGTACTAGTGATAGTTACATATTGTTAAAGTTACCTTTTTCCGGACATCCTTTCTTTTCAGGTCCTTTAGCTTCAGTTTCTCCGTCAGCGCAACATCCATATCTATTTAACAAAATAAGTGAACAGGTTCATATCAAATTCTGGAAAGTAGCCATTATTTTGATCGCTAAATCGTGGTAAGTAATTGTATGGCCTATAAATAATTATTGTTTCGGGTTTGAATTTTTGTCAATGTATAATTATCTACATTTGTTCATTAATTTAGTAAAGTTTTTTTATAGAATAAGAGGGAAGTACGAGCACACTGGTCCACCTGATGGTAAGTAATTCTGTGGCGCATTGACATCTACATCTATCTTTGAAATCAATATACAATATCTCTGAAAATACCGCTTTTCAAGTTAAAAGAATCTCCGGTACTCTACAATCATCATACGAAACACAGCAGGATTATTCTACTGTTTCACGCTAGTGGTTCAGAGCTTGCTCGGATTTTCAACATATTTAAATTTGCTTTGTATGCAATTGACGTATTCAAATGTATCATTTGGAATCGTATCTTATAATAATATCTTGTAAATTTTAAGTTTATGTACTAATATAAAACGCTTTTATTATACCTATAAAAAGCACTATGATATATCATCGATATCGTAGATCATTTTGTTTTTTTTTTAAAGAGCGAAAAAATTCTGAATCGAAAGTGAAGAGAAGGATACAAATTGACGAAGCATATCATATTAAAATCTAGGTGAAAAAATTTAATAAATCATAGCGTATTTAAACTGATTAAGCTTTGTATCATACTTGGAGGATTTGCAAGCCGGTGGCATTGGTGGGCAGCCTTCTTGTTCGTTGCCCTCAGCAGCGGTGACGTTATCAGAGAGGCAGCAGCCGTAGAGCGTCTCTTGGCAGGGCGGAATTGGACAATCTTTATTTTTGAGACCGCCTGCTGGTGAAACGCCGTCTGGACAGCAACCGAACTTGGACTCCTTGCATGTCTTCGGGTTGGGGCAACCTAAAAATAGTAAATGATATTAAGTATGTCGGTAAGATATTTATATATATCATCATCGGCCGAGGCGTCCCGTAACAGGTCGCCTATTTCCCGTTCAATCGGGGAGGGCGACAGCTGCGTCTTACTTGACCAGGGGACTGGTCTGCTGGGACATGCAACACAATTTAATTCAAGAACATGCTTTGATTACCTTTGGTTCTATACATTTTTATTTATAATAAGGATATCATATCCCATATCGTCCTATTCGCAGCGGAATCGTACTGATAACTTTAAATAATAAACACTGCGGTCGCCAACCCACCTGCCAAACGTGGCATTTATGGCAAAATCACCTTATGTGGAAGGTCGGAAGGTCTATGTTCAGCAGTGAATTTTTACAGGCTATAATCCATAGACGGATGGTAAAGTCCAAAGTCCAAGGACTGATAGATAAACTGTACGTATGATAATGATATAATAATGATGACGTGATAATGATAAAATGATGATGATATTACGATGATATTGGATAGTGAAGATGAGTTGTAGAAAATGAATATTCAAAGAACGATCAAAGCTTGGTTTTTTTTTATAGAAGAGGGGGCAAACGAGCTTGTGGCTCACCTGATGTTAAGTGACTACCGCCGCCCATGATCAACCGCAACACCAGGGGAATTGCAGGTGCGTTGCCGGCCCTTTAGAAAGGAGTAAGCTCTTTTCTTGAAGGTCCCCAGGTCGTATCGGTCCGGAAAAATCGCCGGTGGTAAATTATTCCACAGAGAGGTTGTACGCGGAAGAAAACTCCTTTTGAAACGTACTGTGGTGGACCGCCAAGCATCCAGATGGTGTGGATGGTATCGGGACGTTTGCCGTGTAGTGCGTTCACGAAATTTGGCGGCTGGGATTAATCCGAACAATTCCTCAGAGCACTCCCCGTGATAGATGCGATAAAATACGCAAAGAGATGCAACATCTCTTCGCAGCGCCAGTGAATTGAGCCGATCGGAAAGCACTCGGTCGTCGACGATTCGAGCGGCTCTGCGCTGGATGCGGTCAAGTGGAAGGAGCTGGTACTGGGAAGCCCCAGCCCAGAGATGGGAACAGTATTCCATGAGCGGCCGAACCTGCGCCTTGTAAAGTTGCAGGCGGTGTGCCGGCATGAAATACTGTCCCGCTCTGCTGAGCACGGTAGTTTGGGCATCACATAGAATTGATTAATTTTCGTTTTATTAATTTTAAATTTTTTATGTAATATTTTTGGGCGATTGTTACCTTCATCGAATGGTCCAGCAGCCGGGGTCTTCTTATCAGGACAGCATCCGAATTTGCTTTTGAGACACTTCGCAATCTTCCTTCTTGCCTTGCAACGAGGTTTCTTGGTGTAAACTTCAACTGTTGTCGTCCAGTCCCAAGGAGCTGAGAAAGGCGTTATTGTAAATAGGATAACAATTTTTGTAAAACTTTACTTCTTATTTGATCAAGTTAAATAATTAATAATAACATAAAGTAGTTATTATGTAGCAATTGTGGTGATGTAATTTATACTAATTATTAATTATTAAGGACAGTCATATTTTCAAAATTAATTGAATATTTTCATTAATTTATATTAATTGAGGATAGTCATATTTTCATTAATTTATATTAAACTTACTTGAACCGCTAGCAGTTCCTGTCTCTTCTGACTCAGCTATTTCTGTTGTGGATGAACCTTCAACTGTACTTTCGGTACTTCCAGATGTAGACTCTTCTGAACTTGAACTTCCCGTGGTAGACATGCCATCAGTTGTACTTTCTGAACTCTCTATTGCTATAAAGTAAAATAAAACTAAATTATTTCGGCGAAAGACGTGTACGCAATTCACCTATTAATAGTTGATCACTGGTCTACAAACAAGCACAAAGACGTACAAAGAGCGACTCTTTAGTATCTTTCAATAATGAACCTTCTGTTTGGATAAAGCCACTCATCTTCAATTTTCCACATAATTCATGCTACGAGTATACATGAATATACCAATAAATGTTATTTAGTGCAATATTTTAACATTATCGTATTTCATTCATCGAATAAAATCATCTAATAATTTATTGTCATGTATGTATGCATTATATCATAAAATACTCACTGCTTCCACTAGATGTAGTACTTTCTTCCGTAAGTTCCGTACTTGATGAAGATTCCGTGGTACTGATGGTTTCTGAAATTGATAAATGAATAGTTATGACATGTTTTCAGGAAAAAATGAAACATAAAATGAATAAAGAACTATTAATAGTATGGAATATATTATATTTTACGTCTTTTTATGTGAATTAAATAATGAAAATAATACAACATAAACTTACCTTCAGTGGTAGCGGTTTCAGTTGTTTCTGTAACTTCAGATTCAGTACTTTCCGATGTAGATAATGAACTTATTTCGGTTACTTCAGTCGTACTAGAATCAGTGCTCTCTTTCTCCGTAGATTCTGAAGTTGTACTTGCTCCAGACTCTGTGGTCTCTACAGATTCTGTAGTCATACTTGATTCACTGCTGCTAAGTTCCGTTGTTTCAGTTGTAGCCTCTTCTGTTGTCATGGTTCTTCCTTCTTCTGTTGTAATAATAGTGACCGATTCCGTTGTTTCCGTAGTTTCAGATTCCGATGAACTTACACTTGATTCTGGTGAAGTACTTGTTTCTTCGGTAGTACTTGGTTCCGAGGTAGTACTTGATTCTACGGTAGTACTTAGTTCTATGGTAGTACTTGATTCTATGGTAGTAGTTGATTCTTTGGTAGTACTTGATTCTTTGGTAGTACTTGATTCTATGGTGGTACTTGATTCTATGGTAGTACTTGGTTCTATGGTAGTACTTAGTTCTATGGTCGTACTTGGTTCTATGGTCGTACTTGGTTCTGTTTCTGAAGAACCAGAAATAGATGTTTCGGTTGATTCGGTTGAAACTGATTCTGTGCTTTCTGTCGTTCCAGTTTCCTCAAGTGTAGATTCAGTTCCACTGGATGGGCTACTTTCCGCTGTAATTTCAGTACTACTGGTTTCTGTAGTCACCGTTTCAACACTTTCAGTGAATGCAGAACTTGTTTCGGTCGTTTCAGTACTTTCAGTCATTATGCTTTGTGTTGAACCTGCTAGATTAAAATAAGTATAAATCGTAAAACTTATTATAAGGCAGTACTCGGCTAAGCCACTTAGGAATCGGTAATGAAGCACTAGATCTAGATGGTGAATCTTACTGTCTTAATGTAAAAATGTAAAGCCTACTTACTTTGAAGTCACCTAAATTGTAATCGAAAAGAAAGTCAGAGCTAGCAAGTTATTTCAATCCCGTATGCATTAGCAATATCAATAACAAAGGGGTGGAGACCCGCCGACTGCTTAGTTTTCCAAAAGTGGGAAGAGTTTGTTCCTTAGGCGAGTTTTAAGGTGAGTATGCACAACGCTCTATGTAATGTATTCTATAGAACAAGAACACCGAGAGGCTGTCAAATCTAATTCTGTGGTTGTCAACAAAGTCTGCGTAGCGTGAGTCGAGCGTAGTTGACTTTAGCCGATTGTAAAGTAATTGTAGAGATGTTTTTTTTTTGAAAACAATAATTTTTTTGTTTACCTTCACTAGACGCTGATACTTCAGTGTTGGTTGTTTCAATTTCCAGCGTAGTACTTTCAGTGCTACTAATTGTCGATGTTTCTTCACTACTTGTTTCCGAAATAGCAGTATTCGTACTTGAAACAATGCTTCCATCTGTGGTTACTTATAAAATAAATACATTAAATCACTATCGTATAAAACTTGAAATAACAAAAGAAATCTTAAGATTTTTTGTAATATTATATTGTAAAATGAGCATATGTATGCCTAGAACCAACTCAGATCATAATTATTTCCGAATTGAAATTTAAGAGAGCCAGCTGTACTGTTGCTTGGTGGCAGAAGTAGGAAAAATATGGCCAACTCAGATTTACATCTCAGATGAAAAAGAGCCTTACCTCCTATTATTTATTTACCTGATTCCGTTACTTCAGTTTCCGTGCTGCTTGTGGGTACTGATGTAGACGACATATCTGAAGAGCTTGTTGAGCTATCCGAGATCGTTGATGAGAATTCCGTTGTTAAATCGACACTACTTGTTTCCTCAGACGTAGACGATCCAGTGTACAATATATCTGTACTTTTAATAGTAATGAATTCTTCAGTAAGTTCGCTTTCAGCCTCGTCTGTACTTGATTCCGTTGTATCAGTAATGGAAGTAAATTTAGTTGTTTCATCAGTAAATTCAGTGCCAGTTGAACCACTCCCTTCCGTGTCCCACAAGTCCGTTATTGTAGGCTCTGTAAAGGTTTTTTTAATTAAAAAATAATAATATGTCAAGACAGCGACTATATGAAATAGCGGTGAAAAATGTTACCCGATCCTGATCCAGATTCAAGTGTAAATTCAGATTCAGTATCACTAATTAAGGTCGATCCCATGCCGGAACCATCTGTAAATAGTTTTTAAATACGTATTAGTTAATAGTTACAACCTAAAAAGAAATAAACCTTAAAGCAAAATATTACCAGTGATAGGACTGTCACTCTGCATCATGTCGTCGATCTGAAAACAAAATTAAGTTTAGTTTTGTGGTAAGTCCTAAATCATTAAATGGATTGCCCTTCTACCATTTAGAATAGGACTCATTAATAATGCGAGTTCCATTTAATTTGAGATTGACTAGAAATCTCATGTTTAAAAGTTATGCCCCTTTTGTGAGATATAAAAATCAAGATAAGAATAATCGATTTTTAATGCACCTAACTGTACAGCAAAAAAAGGAAATACATATTTATACCAACCGTACTACCGAAGTGAGGTATCAATTCTTCAGCGCCGACTTCTGGATAATCTTCTTCTTCCTCGCACTCTTCATAATCGTAGTCTTCTTCTGTTGCTGACACAGTGGTCTTTGTGGAAACTATGTCACAATTTTTGTATATTAGTATATAGTTAATCACAAGTAAATACTTAGTTTTGGAATTTTATTCAAAAAACAAGCCAAAAATATGTAAGCCGCAGTTCGGTGAACTCATTTAACTGTTATTAAAATTTTGAAACAACAAGTAAAGTTATTATATTGGAATGAAATTTTGTTGATGGAATAAATATCAGTTATACATATAAACGTAAGACAAAATTAAAATAATAATCCCCATAAGTTGCTTTTATCAAATAAAAAATAATGACGTAAATAAAATGTATAGATAATGAAATACTGTAGAAACTTTTCTTCTACAAATAAGAATCCTTTGCACTTTGATAGATTGACTGCCTCGTTAGTCTAGTAATTGTAAACGCGTTTGCTAGTCATGAGGTCCTGGATTCGAATTCTAGATCTGGCTAAATATCAGTTATCTATTGGGTTTTTCGGCCAAGAAACTCAGTAGTGGTTCGGAGTATGTATGTTGGCGGTACCTAACCCTCATGCCTCGGGAAGCACGTATTTGCTCCGTGACGTAAACCCATTATTCCTGCGCATGATCTCTCTCCGGTCATGTTAGATTGTCGACTCATCTGATTATAAGAGTAAGGGTTTAGAGATTAAACCTATACTTGCGCATACTCTCTCATACACAAACGCACAACAACAGAATTATATTCTGTCCCTCGAAGATGGCTGGTCCTCTTTGAGACTGGCCGCCGTGATCGAATTCGTGAAAATTTGGTCTTGAGGACATTGTTATTAACATAAACTTGCTTTTAAAGAAATTTAACGTAACGTGCGAACGAAAACGAACTTATTCTTACTTTTATCACATGGTACTGTATTACAAGACTGCAACCTCTCGAGTATGGACTCTTCGGGGCAGGTTCCGACTTCAACACCTCCGCTCAAGCACATCACGCGTCGGTACTGTTCACCTCCACCGCATTCTTTTGTACACTGTTAAGGAAATCAGCTTTTATTGTATTGATTAAAACCACACACACACACACACATCAAAATTCCGCTGCTGATAGGGCTCAAATAATCAAATACGAGTAGGAGTGACCTGAAATAGCATATCTCCTTAATTCCAAGCACTAGCCTCGTTGCCTCACCCAGCTTCGGAATCGTCGACATACCGAATGAAGTCCAGTTCCGCGGTCACTTGGAAGGGAAAGCCTAATTGGCCCGTTTCAAAAATCAAACTGGCTTAGCGTGCTTTGTACAGCGGGACAGTATTTCCGGCACATCGTTTGCAACTTTTCAAGGCGCAAGTTTGGTCTCACATTGAATACTGTGCTCCTTTCGACTTCACACGACCGAATTCTTTTTGATTGGCTTGACTTACTGGCGCTGCGAAGACATGTTTCATCTTTTTGCATATTCTAACGCATTCTACAACAGGAAGTGCTCAGAAGAATTGTTTGGACTTATTTCAGCCGCTCAATTTTACCATCGCACGTCGCTACAAAACTCGCTATATCATCCATACAATCTAGATGATTGGCGGTCAACCACTGTGCTAATTACAAGAAGTCTCACACAACTCCTTTATAACATCGACTACCACCAGTGAATTTTTCGGACCGATACGACTAAGGGACCTTCAAGAAAAGAGCCTACTCTTTCTTTAAATACCAGCAACGCGCAATTTCAATTTCCTTCGGGTTGCAGTTGTTAATGGACGGCGGTAGTCATTTACTATCGAGTGAGCTGTATGCTCATTTGGAAAATGGCCTTAAAATGAAAAAGGCCTCCTCCACAAATTGCCCTAAAGAAGAGATATTTGCCATAGTTGTCTCGCCTGAGATACGCGTTGGTAAACGCAGTTTTTAATTATTATGAACTGATAAAAGGAAGATGTTGCTATTCAAACCTTCCCATCTCCTATTTCAGCTTCCTTTTGTCGCCTCCTACGATAATGACGTAACGACGTAACGACGTAACAACGATACGACAAGGAAACGGTTTTTTATTTCAAGTTTTTTTTTAAAATACTTTTTAACGTTATTGGTGAAATAATTGTTTCGTAAAAAACCGCCGAAAAATCTCGTTATAAATACCTCAGATTTATTGGTTCTGTAAAAAAATTAAAATCTGGAGTTGTGGAGCCCGTACAGAGACAGAGGTACAATTTTAATACCATTCGTGTGTGTACACGAGCTTCGAATCATTCTTTACCTCTGACCAAGGTCCCGCATACCACTTGGCAGCACACTTTTCACTGGAAATCTCACAAGGCTTGGTTTCATTGTACTTCAAGTTCTTGTCGCAACGGTCGTCGTCTACTTTATACACAGACGCACCGTCGAATAGACCGCAGAAGACCCGACGGCTCTGGATTCCTTTTCCACACTCCACAGAACACTAGAAAAGAATAAAAATGATTTATTATAAACAGTTGCTGAATCAATCTAATTTTACGATGTTTGGTCATGGTCACAACAAATACTCGTAAGTTGAATAAAAATTAACTCGTGGTCACCCAAATAAGTTGAAATAAAGTTAGCACATTTTCAAACCCAACTATAAAACTTTCACAAAAGTGAAACAGATAAAATATATAATCGAAACCCAAACTTACTTTACTCCACTGCGTAGCGTACCACAAAACTTCACACGGGGGAAGCTTGGAGCGGTCACAAGGCTCCTCTAGAACCGGGGTCGGGTGGTAGGAACAGAAACTGGGGTCAACGACTTTTTGATCTTTGGTCGCGCAGTGGGCTACACGCGTCTGAACAGTTGCAGTGCAGGTGTCACACTGTAATATAAATTAAAATAGATTTTGATATTTACAGTGTTAATAACTCAAAAAATTGTTGTTACTCTGTAAATAACTGTTGTAATTTTTATATAGTCTGTTAACGTAAAACATCTGTATGTGGTATAAAAACACAACTTTATTAAATGTAATAATTATATATCTAATAATATGAGTTTTTCTGTGTCGGTCAAGTATAATTTAGTTATGAAAGAACAGACAGGCAAACGCACATTGGATATATTATACTAGTATCCTTTGGTTACATTGTAGACTGTAGTTGAGTAAAATAACTTTTTTTTTGTTGAGTACGTTGAGTAAATACGTATTGTAAATTGTTGAGTAAACACATCCCTGCAAGAGTAAAGTAAATATCATTGTTGTTCAATGAAGTTCAAAAAACGAATTATGGGGATTTCCCGAATCTAAGAAAGTATTGGTAAAATTATTTAAAATTGCTAATTATTAGTAACTAGCGATTCGCCCTAACTTCGTACTGGCGATCTTTGGATGTCGAGAAAAGCGCCACTTCCCGGATCCAAATGTGAATCTAAGCCATCTAGGGACCCATTCAAGCACATACAAAAAGATTCATGAGAATCGGTCGAGCGGTTTTAGAGTTTTTATGAAACTAACGGACTGCACTTGATTTTTATATATAGAGATAAATAACATAGTGACGTTAAGTTTATTATTAATTCATTCGATACTTACCCCATACCAATCAGACAGGACCCAATCGACGCCATCACAAGGATGCAGCATACATGTCTGCTCCGTTGGTGGTTTCTCATCATCGCAGCTCTCATCTTCGAACACTTCTACCTTCCCGTCTATTTTCTGATGACAGACCACTTGACGTGTTTGTTTGCCCTCGCCGCAAAGCTTGTCGCACTAAAAAGAGATGGTGAATAGAATAAAATAATTTCGTCTCAAATTTCATCATCAATAAATCACTTTTACTTTTTAGGGAATTACCTTTTACCTTTTAAGAAATATCACAATCTCTATGACATCTAAATAATTTAATTAAAAACTTTATCCCCTATTTTGCCACCCTTAGGGGTGAAATTTTTACCCTAAATTTATATGGGAACTGAAGCCTATTCACTTTAATTCACGACGAATTCATATTTATAGATCACTTGGCCCCCCAGATATTGATTTTTGAAAGGAATCTGTCCAATAACAAGAGTTTTCAAAATGGCCGACCTTTTCTTCAATTCAGACTACGAATTCACGTTCATACATCACGTATACACCCAGATATTGATTATAAAATAATTGGCTCAGAAATGAGAAGTTTGAGATTGACGACAAATTATTGCATTTCTAATAACGAATTCGTAGTCGTAGAACATGCTAATTTTCAAATATTTTATTTGATCAAATATCTATTATATTATATGGTACGATATACGAATTTTAAAAGTGACAACAACCACATGCACAACTTAATTATATTTTCCCCACATGAAGGTGAAAAGTCTAAAACTGGTAACACTACGGCATGCACACAAAGACAACCAACGCGAGTAAGACGAAGCTGTTATGCAATATGCATACAAACTCGTCAATTCCGTCCCATATTTTGTCTAAATTGTAATGAATGTAATGAATTAATGAATGCATGACTGGGTCCTCCAACTCATCATCCGTTTGGAACTTTATACTGCACAAAGAAGCAGAGGCGAATTAAATGTCGAGCCATATGGTCATATACTGTAAAATATAACTACTTATAATATAGTTGCAAAATATTTAGGACGCGTAACATGTGGGCGTGAATGGAAAAATGTGATAAAAGAGCGAGGATGATGTAGGAGAGTACCTAAGAATATAGAAAGTATGATTGTTATTTTATGTAAGTAGGTGCATAAATATTTCTTTTTGTTTAAAAACTTGCATGCCCTTTAGTAATATTGCAAGGATAATCCGCCACTGCAAACGAGTGGGAGTTTCGAGTTCTTTCCTAACTGCTACTTATTTCCTTTTATTTTCTGTCTCTGTATTATAAACCTATATGGTTTTTGTCATGAACACAATTATTACGATGGTTTATTACAATTAGGTCTACTCACCGGTTTCCAAGGTCCAGTAAACCAAGTGGGACAAGTGGCATTTTGATTGCACTCCTGATATAGCTCCGGTTTCGGTCCAAGTAACTCAAAGCATTCTTTGTCGGCTACCATCGACGGCAATCTGAAAGTAGGTACTACTAGAACATGCACCTTTCTTGGTTAATGAATGGTCATGGAATGATATAAGCAATTTGTGAAGGAGTATGACATGGTTCATGGTCTGTTCCTGGTATATAGGTACCTACTGTTACTAATAAAATTAAAGTGTCTGTCTGTAATGTTGAAATTATAGACTCTAAATTATAGAATCTGACTTGAAGGGGATATTTGCATGCCATAAAGCTTCGAATATCCAAATATAGAATTTAATGATTTAAAATCTGTCGCTCTGTCTGTCCGTTCGTTAAACCGATTACGATATAACTTGTAGAACAGATAGAGAGCAGTGTCAGGAGCGATCTAGGCTATATTTTATCCGAAAAACTTGGAGATGTTTTTTTTTTTGAAAAATCTAAATATCGATAAAAAATGATCTTTAGTGCTTATCTTTAAGGATATGTATGAAATTTATATTTTAAATTTAAAAGAAATAAATCAACTACATAATCAGAAGTTACTATGTAGTATTTTTTTAATGAATTTTTAACCCCTCAGAAATAATGAAAGGTCTGTGCCTAGCTTAAAGGCTGTTTTTACTTTTATTAATTTTTTCAATTGGTGTGCTCAAGATAACTAGAAAGTCATCTTAGTTGTTATGACATATATACATATAGATTATACATACTTAAAAACATACTCAGGTGTCCCGGAAACGATGCTGCCACATTCAGTCTTCAGCTTTGACAGTTGGCTCTTTCTGGCAGACAGATCTCTGGCAAAGACTTTGGAGACCTGGTTCCGCTCGATCGCTTCTTTAATACGAGCAGTATTAAAGTTGCGTAAGTTTCGCCGCATGCATTTGGAGATCTGTCTGTTCAGTTGCCTGAATGTTGTCAAATCTGTTGACGATTGCAGCCTCATCTCCCGTCTAACAGCCATGAGATTAAGAGTGTGATCGGAGAGTTTTTGTGTTCTTCTACGGCGGGTCTTGCAGAACTTAGCTCCGACCGCATGGACAGTTTCCACGACCTTGTCATTCATATCGTCCACTGCATCGCATTCTTCTAGGCACTGAAAGTGGTTACGTAACTCGAGCTGAAAGGTTTCGGGATTCTGGATTAGAGCACGAGGGGGACGGAGCGTTGACTTCATTAGACGAGACCTCTCCAACTTAACGTTTAGGTTCAGTGTACCTCTAACCGTTCGGTGATCGCTGCCAGTTTTCACCCTTGCGATCACTGAGACATCACTATACAGTTGGCGTCTGGTCGTCATAATGAAGTCACTCTCATTTTTTGTCGAACCGTCGGGGCTCGACCAGGTCCACTTCCTGTGGGGCCGCTTCTGGAAGAAAGAGTTCATTATAAAGAGTCCCTCTTTCTCCATAAAGTTGGCCAGCTGCTGGCCCCTACGGTTCCGTTGCCCTACTCCAAATTTCCCTAACTTCAGCTCACCGTTTTCTCTTGTGCCTAGTTTTGCGTTGAAGTCTCCCATCAACACCGTGTATTGGGTTTTGGAGGAATGCATGGCTCTGGAAATATCCTCATACATTTCCTACACCTCCTCATCGGGATGTGCCGAGGTTGGTGCGTAAACCTGTATGACCTTCAGCGAATACCGTTTGGTGATTCTAGGTATCAGGTACGCGACCCTCGTCAACATACTCTCAATCCTTACATGTTATTGACGAGAGACTTGTGGACGATAACTCAGATACCTCCTTGGGACAGATGGTCGCCCTCCCGGCGATAGAACAAGTTGCGGGACTCAAGGATTACCGTGTCGTCCTCCCCCTCCCTTCGGTCCTCGAATAATCCAACAATATGCCAGCGCAACTTGTCTACCTCTTCTTCCAGCTCCAGTATCTTCTCGTCAGTCCTCAGGGTGCGTGCGTTATATGTTGCCAGGTCGAGTCGTCATAGGTGGCAACCGAACCTCCACCGGAGATTCTTAGTACTCCCTGCCCCGCCGTTACCATGGTCGCCACCGTAGCCAGGAATAGCGGGGCCGCCGGGGACTGGGGGCAGTTTGTTTGAGTCGTTATTCACGGGGGGATACCAGATATTTTTAGTGAGATTGAGAGGTTCTATGGACAGCTGTACTCATCATCGTTGGAGCCACATGCAAGTGTGAGTAACGATCCAAGAGCAAGTCTTATCAGACACTATTCCTATGATATCACGGACGTCAGTCTGAGCGAGATTAGAATGGCTTTCCAGCACCTTAAAAACGGCAGGGCCCCAGGCGAGGATGGAATTACAGCGGAGCTTCTGAAAGCGGGTGGAACACCGGTATTTGAATTCCTTCAGAAGCTCTTCAACTCAGTCCTCCATGGTGGCACTACTCCGGAGGCATGGAGCAGAAGTGCGGTGGTCTTGTTCTTCAAGAAACGTGACAACACCCTCTTGAAGAACTACAGACCGATATCCCTTCTGAGCCGCGTCTAAGTGCTGTTTTCGAGAGTCATTACGAATCGTCTCGCATGCAGACTCGACGACTTCCAGCCTCCCGAAGAAGCCGGTTTCCGGAAAGGCTTCAGTACCATAGACCACACACATGCTCTGCGGCAGATTGTACAGAAGACCGAAGAGTACTATCTGCCGCTTTGCCTGACGTATGTGGACTATGAGAAAGCCTTTGATTCCGTCGAAATTTGGGCGGTGCTACAGTCCCTACAGCGGTGCCAAGTTGACTGTCGGTATATCGAAGTGCTGAAGCGTTTGTACAGTAGGGCTACGATGGCTATCCGAGTACAGAACTAGAGTTCGAAACCTATCCAACTGCATGAGAGGTGTAAGACAGGGTGACGTTATATTCCCGAAACTCTTCACCGCTACGTTGGAAGTCGTTTTCAAGCTACTGGACTGGAAAGGATACGGTATTAACATCAATGGCGATTACATCACTCACCTTCGATTTGTCGACGATATAGTCCTTATGGCAGAGTCGCTGGAGGACCTTAGCACTATGCACAATGACCTCAATGTTGTCTCCCAACGGATAGGTCTTAAGATGAACATGGACAAAACAAAGATCATGTTCAATGTCCATGTCTCATCTACGCCGGTAGTTGTTGGGAGCACTATGTTCGAAGTTGTTGACGAGTACGTTTACTTGGGACAAATAGTCCGACTAGGTAAGTCCAACTTCGACTGAGAGGTCAATCGACGGATTCAACTCGGCTGGGCAGCGTTCGGGAAATTATACGACACATCTTCTCGTCAGGTATACCTCAATCTCTGAAAACTAAAGTGTACAACCAGTGCGTGTTGCCAGTGATGACATACGGATCCAAGACGTGGTCCTTCACTGTTGGCCGTATGTTCAATGGGCCGGCCATATAGCTCGAAGAACTGATAACCGATGGGGAAGAAAGGTTCTCGAGTGGCAGCCTCGTACCGGTAGGCGTAGTGTAGAGCGACCCCCCACTAGATGGAGTGACGACCTGGTAAGACATGCAGGAAGTCGATGGATGCAGGTGGCTCAGGACCGTGCCTTTGTGGCATTACTTGAGGGAGGCTTATGTTCAGCAGTGGACTTGTGAAGGGCTGTAATGATGATGATGATGATGATGATGAAAAACATACGTGTCGTATATAGAACCATTATAAGAGTATGTTTACACTTTAAACTTTTTTATTTTATTACTGTCATTTATTTATATTATAACAAGCTGGCCCGGCAGATGTTCTACCCTAAAAGCTAGGTGACGGTCTCATCTGTCTAATCCACTCCAAGTACAGATTTTTTACAGTGTAAATGTAAAATTAATTATCCAATAACTAGGTACCACAGCGATTAGAGTTTGTGATTTTTTTTATTGTACCAAAACAAACATACGTATACACACATATTATACATAGTACCCAGTTGACCGAGCTTCGCTCGGTATTTTTCGCTCGGATTTTTTTAATTCGTGTGTTTTGGAAATTATATTTAGATAAAAATTACATACTGATGAAATACGAATAATATGTTTTGATGTTAGCGACATAATAGAAAAAACTGAACTTATTTGAATAAAAAATCATGAGTGCAATTAGTTTAATTAAAATTTTTGTGTATTTAAAAAAATACTAAAAAAAAGGGCTCGAAAAATAGATTTTCTCAAAAAAGAAAGAACCTTGAAAAAAAAATTAAAAAAGTCGGTCGGTCGGCGTGGGCTCGAACCATGGTATTACGATTTTGTGACCGCCCAATATACCAATTAAGCTATTTGTAATCGTTAATAAACTGTCAAAATTTACCTTCTTATTCTAACGATATTGTAGCAGTTTTTCATTGCCTAAAAACACGGACAAAAGACATTTTCTAAAAATAAATCCTAGCTAGAACGATTTGTTGCCCCCGAAACTTCCTGCACACAAAATTTTATGAAAATCGTTGGAGCCGTTTCCAAGATTCCGATTATATATATATATATATATATATATATATATATATATATATATATATATATATATATAATATACATATATATATATATATATATATATATATATATATGTATATATCGTTTAAAGGTATAAACAATATATTGTGAAACTCGACTACAGTACCACCTGTCGGATCCTAGCATAACTATGAATCATCTTTTCCATTAAATTAAATAATATGTTGTATGAATATGGCCGTAATCAGTCAAATCGTTCAGAAGTTCCACGGTCACTAACAGACGCTCCAACGATTAGTAATGATCGAATAAAATGAGTGAAATTTTGTATAACTTCTTAATAAGTGGAATTAACCTTACCCCTGTGCTATTATCTTTTCGCAGTAAACTTGTCTGGATCTGGTACCACCTTCACCACAAGGTTTAGAGCACGGACTCCAGGGTTCCTCCACCCAGCGGGCTGGGCAAGGGTCAGTATTGCAGCTTTGATTGATGGCCGGCTTCAAGCCCTCGTCACAGAGACTGTCTTCAACTATTTCCAGTTCTTCTCGCGAACGACAAGTCACTTGGCGGGTTTGGAAACCTAGAAAGAGATTGAATGACTAGATGAGTGGATGTAGAAACCATTTTTATTGGTTTTACTTTATTTATTTTATTTTATTGAAAAAGGTACACAAACAGACAGTACTTATATACAGTTAGAAAAATAAAGGAAAGTATAGTAGTGTTGATCTAAATGTGAATGAAATGTGAATCTAAATCATCCAGGAACCCATTCAAACTAACGAGTTTTAGCGAGACACGGACAGCAGTAGATCCTTGTGTATAGAGATGAGACCATTTTATTCAGTTATTTGACACCCGTTTAAGTTTCTTTGCCCGTGGTTGACTGGTAGAGAATTCCCAAAGATATATACTATATCTTAATAGATGGTAGGGGTGGCTATCCTTTTATCTGGTAGAGCCATGCTACAGTTATATTACGCTTGCAGCACGAATGGTTCGGCTCGACCGGACTAGGACCAAGCCCTCACAGAATACAAACGTAAAATAGCAGCTTAATACTGTTGTGTTTCGTATGGTGAGTGTAAACAACGAGAGACCCATTTTCATGGAAAAGAAGCATCACATCTTAGTCCTCAGGGGTGACAACGCATCTAAATTTTGATTCTTAATCGAAGATAAATGTAGATTTCTATGGGCCACAGAATCTACTTACCATCAAGTGAACTGTGTGCCCGTTTGTCACCCTTATTTTATAAAAAAATGTCCGGTAATTGTACTCTTCTGCGCAGTGAAGATTTTTAATTTAAAAAAAAATGTGATAAAAATACTGACCTCCACCACAGGTAGCGCTGCACGGAGAGAAGTCTTCGTGTACCCAATTGTACTGCTGATTAGGTGGCGGGGCCATCGACGAGGGGATGCTGTATTCGTACTCGATGCCCACGTTTTCGTCTTGAAGGAGAAGCTGTGAAACATTAAGTTTATTAAGAATCAGGATTAATTCCTAAAAAAATTCAAATGTTTTAGTTACAACCGAGCTAACAATCCACTTGATGATAAAATAGGTACAGCTCATGGATATCTTCAACCAAATCCAAACGAAGAAGGCCATAGTTGAGTTGTTCCTTGAGGGCTAAAGATCTCTACAGCTTGTATCTAATCATACCAGCTATACTACCCTTCTAACTGGAATACATCAGCGGGAGCAGCAATTGCTTAACAGCTTTCCTTCCTTCCTATCTTCTTCATGCCTGAAGAAGAAAGGGATACAGCCTAGTAGGGAACATCATCATCTTATGGGTAGTTATATTAGGCTAAGGTGCCCATTTTCTTTTTAAAAACATCGATGGAGGACTTCACTTTTGACGTTTACGTCTGAACGGATAACCCGGAACCCTTCGTATACACTGATGATGACTACCGCGGAATTTCAGCCGGTAGAAATCAAGCGTAACCTTTCTGTTGCTCCCAGCAGCAGCGGAAGGTACGCAGGGTACGGAAGGTACGCATAGGGAAATTCCCCACGGTGAAAAAGTTGGCCATTTTCCGTTAAATTGACGGTGAGAGATTTTTATTCCAAAGAAACTTACCGAGAGATACAATGGCTCTGTTGTAGGTCCAAGCGATCTAAGTTTGTCAGGAGCCGCGAATCCCAGCTGACTACGCTCGTAGTGCCACAGAGTGCCAGCTATTGTAAGACTGCGTGGGAAATCAATGTGGTATTCCCCGTTCAAATAGTATACGTTGTCTTGCTTTGCTCTTAACGCTATAACAAAAAATACATAATTACATTGGGAGTGGCGTTTGGTAACAGCGTGAAGGAGTATTCCCTATTCTGTTACATTCCATGGGTTTCATGCGAAGCGACTATGGGGATTGCCGAAAAGTTTTTTGTTAAATTACGTCAGACTTCAATGTTATATTTAGGTTAAGGTATATATTTCTATGGACCAATGGTCTTAATTTTTAAATCCTCGATGCCTGAAATAAAGTTGCCCATTGGTGAGATGAGAAGCAGCTTCATTTAGTGCGAAAAATGTGCAGGCCTTTTCGCTAACTTCATTATCATTAACTTAGAATACCTACTTTAAAGTACATGGCTTCTTATGCTTATAGCTTTTTAAAAGAGCAGAAATATTAAAAAACATACACCGCAATGTACAACACAGTGATTACCATTAACATGCTTTTCACTAGGTTTGCGTGCATCTATTAAACTATCTATGTAACGGAATCTTTTAATGTCATTTTCACCAAGTTGTAGGCGGCCGACTGACTTGAAAATTGGGTATCAAGGACCGATGACAATATAATATCTTAATGATCATGACCCAGTGTTTTCACTAGGCCCATTACAGTTTTCCTAATTCTATAATTATTTTAAAACACGTTTTTATTAGCTTCATGTGTCTATATATATATATATATATATACGTAACGAAATCTTATAATGTAATTTTCACCAAATTGTAGACGGCCGGTTGATTTAAAAATTTGCAACCTGATCAGGATCACTGTCAGGTGAATCTGATCATTATCAAGAACATACAGTTCATGACCAATGCGTGTTGGTTAAGTTTTTTTAAACTACTATATTATTATGACAACACAGTTGACAACAAACAAACAAACCGAATAGGCCAATCGATTGTAAAAAGCGAATAGGAAATGCATTACTACTAATTTAAATTATACATAATATGTTTTAATAATAAATACTACGATAGTGCTCTAAAACAAGCGCCCTGTATAATATATAGGATCCACGCTCCGTACATTATGCAATAGAAGATCACGCAATTACTAATAATTACTAAGTGTATTTCTTTTTTCTTATTACACCCTCACATTTGTTGATGTCTGTGATATCGGTACACGGTAAAGTTTCTATAAACTTATGATTTTACCGTAACGTAACGTGTAATTAATGAATGTAATAATATATTAAAAATCTACCTACCTCCACTCTTAAACACACAAACACACGCACACACACACGCACACACACACGCATGCACACACACACACATGCGCACGTGGACTCACGCACGCGCGCACACACACACACACACACACACACACACACACACACACACACACACACACACATGTATTAATAATGTTTGTTAGTTACTTCATGATTTCTTAACTAGTTAACTAACACTTGTTATAATGTAAGATGAGCTCCACTTTAACACTAGATTATATGTATAATGAGACCAGCGCTGTTGGATTCATAATGATAATTACGTTTCTTTGTTTTGAATATTTTATATATATTTAATTCTGAATCTGTTTGTGGTCCTTTAAATAAATGAAAAAATAATAATAATAATAATAATAATTCATTTAGATTGTCTCCACAATGGGAGGGCTTCATATGCAGCAATGAACTTTTGCAGGCTATTAAAAAATAAGAAGTTTGCATTAATGATAACACAAAAATATGATTATAATTCGGTTACTATAATTATAGACATACTAAATACCATACTATAGATCTCCTCATAGCGGGAAACTTACGATAGTTGCCACGCTTTGCAAGGCGTTGACAACCGCAGGTTTATTTTATTCAGCTTTTATTAGGAAGATGCAGCTGCCCACCTCCCGTTTCGTTTCCCTCTGTCACCTCTTACGACACCCACGGGATGATATGGGATAGTGGATATTCTTACACCGCCGCTACACGGTCAAACTAGGGTTGCCAGATGGTCGGGATTCGTCTGGATTTTCAGGACATTTCTAGACTACCGACAAAACTCAAAATCTCCAGACAAACAGCTTATCGAAAAGTTTACGTATGGCCTTTGATTTATTAAAAGCTGAGTTAGTAATTAAACTGAACTTTGTAGTAACTTGTTTGAATTTTAAATCTTTTTCTGAATTCTACTAAAGGATCCAAATTGGCGGACTCTAGTAAAGTCAAATGCCAAATACATATGGCAACGTAAAAATTTAGTGTACTTAAAATTAATTTTGTTTAAAGTACTTTTTTATGACCTCTCAAAAAATAAACTTTTTGTTTTAAATGCTTATTTCTCCACAAAAACTCCAAAATCTCGACATTTTAAAAATTTGTCCAGATATTTTGGTCTTCCGATCCGGCAACTCACCTAAATAATTGTTGGATGCTTGAACTTCTGCAATCGCAATACTGGTGGCTCCTTGTGGTATCAGTAACACGTCGTTATAGCCTGCAAATGAAATAGTGAATAATTATTAAGTCATGTTGGTAAATCCAAAATACCGGCATATAACGGATTCCTATTGATTGATAGATATTGTTACGCGCTCCAATGCCTCAAATCGGCGCACTAGCGCCATCTAGTCTCGAACCGAAGAACTAAACTTCTTGAAGTTTAAAACTCGAACTCTCGGTACCTTGCGCGTGTTTACTTGAACATTCTGGATATTTTGCTAATTTATATAAGTAGGCGCTGCAAGATGCGATCGAAGTAGACTTGAACTCGGCGACACAAGCGAAGCTTCGGAGCGGAATTAAGTGAATTAGTGTGTAATCATTAGTGTTTTAAGTTTTAATTTGTGTAAAGTAAATTAAAGTGTTAATTTAGGTAATTTTATCGGCAATTTTTATTGTCACGAACCCTAAGCTCGTAACAATATTATTACATACGAGGTACAACTTAAACTTAACTTAAATAGTTAAACTGGTATATTGTTTATAGAAGGGTTTTCATGAACTTTATTTACTGTACAACAGCTCGTAAACGAAAACGTAGCGTTTTTAAATATGGAAACCCGGTAATAGTAGCAAATATTCACGAATGTTACCTTTCCGTAAATCTTTTGTGTCTATAATTCCAGTCACTGTGTGGCAGTTGGTGCCGTTGCCTCGGCACTCGCGGCACTTGTCCTCACGAGCGTTGGACCCCAACATCATGTCGCAACCCACCGCCTGGAAATAATCAATTAGATTTTTATTTATTTATTTATTCGTTGTGAATTGGAAAACTTTATGTCTTATGTCATTCTCTTTCAATTCTCTTTCAATTCTCTTCCAATCTTGTAAATGATTTCAACATTACAACCATTTGATTAATAGTCGCACCTAAACTGTTTGGCTCGTAGAATTGTATACGGAGAGCAGCATCTAATGTGCGAGGTATCTATCACTTCTACAATCGCCAAACTATCGAGATGCATTGTATTATCTCTAACAAGTTTACTCTTAAATCAGCTATTACAAAAGTACGGCTTGCCGTGGATCCGCGGATCATAATCAAGCGGACCTTTCACAGGTAGTACAGGACCGTTGACATTATTATATTCTGGAAAATTAAGTGGATATACAAAATCTTGGAATGTGCTTTAAAAACAATCGTATTTCGATTTTAGATGGCTTAGAAGTTGATATCGGTGATATCGGTACACGGTAATCATTTATTCACCAACTCTATAGTAATAATACCCAGTATCGGCTACTCAAAATTTGCGATGGAATGGCATTTTGTCGAATCCACCCCGAGAGATAATACTAATATATTTAGGTTGAGTGCACGTAAAGTCCATTAATTCGGACGGTAACAATGCGATGGTCCTGTTATAAAACCTCTCAGAGATAAAAGAACGCCCGTGTCATATTATAGGTAGACTGTTTACTATTGCCGAGCGCAGTACCAAACATCTCTTCTTTTTTTTTGGCGTAAACGGGATGGTTATACCTTCCCTCCATTTACCGAAAACCATGAGGTCCTTCTTGCATTTTCCATAATCGCATCTTACGACAGCGAATGTAATATATTCGTTAGAGGCCACCGCTGAACATAGGCCTCACCCATAGATTTCCCCATAGGGGAGATATTTTCCATAGTTGCCACGCTTGGCAAGCGGGTTGGCAACCACAGTCTTTTAACCTCTCAGCCCCCGAACGGTCGCATGAGCCCGCGGCCATATTCCGTCGAATCCCTAGCGGTCTTATGAGACTGCACCCACCCATAGCACTTTAACCCATAAAAACTTATAATTAGAGACTACTTGTCTATGAAGAAGTTTGACATTATAGGCTCAATGTGAAATTTCATATCCTCTAATGTAATAAAAAGTAGTTGGTTTATAGTTTTTTATTTATAATCTATGTTCGTTTCGTACGCGTATATCGTGTGGGGAGTTTTGGCGGGAAATTGGCCGTAGACGGATTGTCGCTCCGGTTTTGTCGCTTGAAAAATGGTTTGAAGTGGATTTTGATTCATAAAAGTGATGCGATTTTGTAAATTAAGTGTCCGCGCGTGTGAACTATTAGAGAAAACGACGAAACAAGTGCTTTGATGTCGATATAAACCTCGAAGTTATTTTGATCGCTTGGGCGCCTCATGAACTTGAGTGGCTGTCGTCATCAACAAACAGTCCGCTAGGTTGAGCTGTCGTCAAAATCTCCCAAAGGCTTCGCAATGTGACGCATCAGCATATTGTGAAGAAAAATAACATAAAATGAATATTCCAAAAGAAAGGATAGGCTCAGAAGGTCTAGAAACCAGAGCCGTAAAGCCAGTTAATAAAGAAAGTATATCGTGTGACGTGTTATCGTATTGATTTTTGGGTTTTTGTAATGTTTTAGTGTTTAGTATAGTGTTTGATTATAAAATTGTTAAAGTCTTTGTGTGAATATAACTTATCTTTTTACGTAAACAATTTCGAGTAATATATAGAAATAATTGCGATGTTCAAGATGCTGTCATGTACGTACATTTTAACTACGAAAATACAATTAAAGATTTTAATTTGTAACGAATTAAAAGTACTAAAACAAGCAGTATAACATAATAAATAAACAGAAACAAGTATTATATTGAAATTTATAATTATTATTGAAAATAAATGAAGACAAATTCAAGGTTAGATTATTTTTAAAAACGCTGCGCCACGCGAAGCAAGCGCGCGGTGGTAATCATTTTTAGCTGGGGCCTGAGGGGTTATTTTAGTCGTTATTAGGAAGAAGCTGCTGCCCATATCCTGATTTATTTCCCTCTGTCGCCTTTAACGACTCTCAAATATCACATATATGATTCTATTATTAGCAAACTAATACCTGGCAGGTTCCATCGACGCAGACGTCAAAGGACTCATCATTGCATCGCGTGCCGTCGATAACTTTCGCCTTCTGTCGGTAATAGAAACGTTCGCCATGTGGCATGCAGTTCAGCTCGCAGGGGTTTGAAGCGTGTGTGTATGGTATCCATCTGTAAGCACGTGACTGTTCTAACATTCTTCAGGATATGGTTCACAAAAGAAATATACTTAATTACATTATACAGGGTTATTTTTCAAAGAGTAGCCAAATTTTAAACTTAAGTTCAAATATATAAATAATGATATACCTACCTTTATTGCAGTTTTTGAAAATACGAGTAAATAAGGCTTCTACTTTTATATGAAATTATCCCAAATTGAATGTGATGAATGGGCAACAACGTTTTTGCCTACCGATCGACCCTCACGGATAAATGCGTGCGCAGTAAAATCCGTTAAAATAATGCAAAAATACGCATTTTGAATTTAAAATTTAAAAAGGACCAAATATAATGAAATATTATTACCATAAATTTTTCTTCACCATTTTCCTATATTTATCCTGCTCTGCAAAGGCCGGTTATTACAAAATAACCCTATATTAGACAATTTAAATACATCTTTAACGATAATATCGATGATATATCAATCTCGATAACTTTTTTTACAAAATTAAGTGATAAATAAACTTATATCTAATGTTAAGTAGCTGCTGCCATCCATAGACACCTGCAAATTACTTCAAACAAAGAGTCTACAGACGCGTAATCACCTCCGAGCACAAAGTTTCAATGTCTGTAAATACACTGACTATTGCCTCCAGACGAGGTTACAGCAGTGCAGGCAATATGCGGACAGGAATAGGTGAAGGGAGTCCCTAGGACATGGAGTGCTTGAGATAAGTGATGGGTACCACTCACTCACTCACTCACTCACAGACCTGTCCTTGGCAGAAAAAACATACTACCATCTACAATTGTATCTACATACATCTAATTTTTTATAGGATAGTGTGACAAACGAGCACACAGTCCACCTGATCGTAAGATGCTGTGGCCCATAGACATCTACATCTAACCTCGATTGTGAATCAAAATGCAGATTACGTTCACCTGAGAGGATGGATGGAATTCCTGTTTCCAGTAAAAAGGGTCTCCGGTTCTCTACACTCACCATACGAAACAGCAGCATTAATCTACTATTTTGCGCGGGTATTCTGTGAGAGCGTGGTCCTTCCCCGGTCAAGCCGACCCATTCGTGCAGCAACTATACTAATTATATAACTGCAGCACGTCTCTTCCACGATGTACGATTTTGTATTAAAGAAAGTAAAGAAACGTACTTGTATTTTATACCCCTAAAGGCGATATCGTCGTATTCGGAGCACTGCTGCGACCGAAAGTCGCCGGCATCAATTGGACAGTCTTGCGTTTGACACGAGAAGTATTTTGTGTCGCCGCCTGTGCACAGCGGTTGGCCATCAGGACTGAAAGTAATAATAATTATTATTTATTAAACAATATTATGAAATAATCGGCCAAGAGCGTGTCGGGCCACGCTCAGTGTAGGGTTCCGTAGTTTCCCGTCCGTCACAACAAGTGTTCCCACTTATGAGTTTAAAGGTGGGGTATCCATTATGTTGGCCACGCCGCGCTCCTGCAACTGCTCCCGTTAGTGGGTACTGTTGTTTCCATCCAAGTTCAAAATGATTTTCCTAGAAAGTCCTTATAAAGTTCTACTTTTCAGATTTTTTTCATATTTTCTAAACTTATGGTTCAAAAGTTAGAGGGGGGGGGGACACTTTGTTTTTTAATTTTGGAGCGATTATTACCGAAATTATTGACATTATCAAAAATGATTTTAGTAAACCCCTACTCATTTTTAAATACCTTTCCAACAATATATCACACGTTAGGGTTGAAATTAAAAAAAAAAATCACTTCCCACTTTACATATAGGGGGGCTAACCTAATAGATCATTTTTTTCCAATTTTTATTTTACCACTTTGTCGGCATGATCGATACACATATTGGTACCAAATTTCAGCTTTCTAGTGTTAACGGTCACAGAGATTAAGCGAGGACGGACAGACGGACAGACAGACATGGCGAAACTATAAGGGTTCCTAGTTGACTACGGAACCCTAAAAACAAAGCCTTTCTAAGAATACGAAAGAGAATTCGTAAGAAAATCCTTCACCACATTCTCTTAAATGTTGTAAGGCTTTTTTTTAAAGAATAACTGTAACGAGCACACAGTCCACCGGATAGTAAATGGGTACTCTGGCCTTAGACATCTACATCTATCCTCGATTAAGAATCAAAATGCAGATGTAATAATATGTGTTAACACTCCTGAGGACTAAGGTGGAATACCTGGATTACATGACCGTTTGAATGCTATTTTACGCAGCTATTTTATGAAAGCGTGGTCGTTTCGCGGTCGAGCCGACCTATTCGTGCTACAGCCATAATATAGTTGCAGCGTGGCTCTACCACGTGCAAAAACTATGACAGTAAATAAAGTAAATGAAAAAAAAACTTATGGTTCCTATAGGTGGCGTTATATCATTATATTTATTCCAGATGTAAAATATATCCAGACCAGCATCAAAGGCGCGAGTCGACACGTACTGCGAATCAATCACTTGCCAAATGTGACGATGAAGGCATAATCCTCCTTACAACACGAGAACAGAAGGGGCCCATGATGATAAAGAAGAAGACTACTTCTCCACTTATCATTATAGCATTTGGAGAAAAATTAAACAGCAGACAGGCTGTTACTAACTACAATAAATTTAAAAAAAGCCGTAGCCGCGAAAAACCGTTTGATGTCGGTGTAAGTTATCCGCTACCCGATATCGTCCCGTAGGTGTCGTAAGAGGCGAAAGAAGGAAACTGAAATAGGAGATGGGCTGGATCTTCTTGATGACTACTTAGAATAAAAAAACTGCGGTTGACAACTGCCTGCCAACATTCCTAAAATAGATTTTACATGGAGTCCATTGTAATCAAAATTAAATCTAAAACTTGTGTGTTTCACAGCCTGTATGATATCATAATAAAGTCCGCCAGACCAAATTTCGGTCACGATGGACATTCACAATGGTGACTAGCCAAATGATGAGAAGCCAAGTGATGACGCAGGACAGGATTATAGAGTACAAGTGTGTGCTTAAACACACAATTATGCATTCTCTATCCCTCATTCTCATAGCCCGATGGAACGGAAGTGATAGCCTATGTATATTTTCTGTTTGACCTGGAGGTAGACCAGAAGAGAACGTCTTGAGTCATTAAATCCGCCTTTTTGTAAGCGATTTTGTACAAAAGAAAACGACGGGTTGCACTCCGGGAGTGCCGGCAGAAGTGAAAACTTGAATATTAACGTTGTTCATTTTTGATATTTTGGAATGGTTAGTGAATAATTTTGCACGAATTGTTTTAATTATAAGTAAAAAAGTACTATCATTTATCTGGTAGAATACAATATTTATTTATTGCGCTATCGTACACAGACATGACAATTTATATTACATTCGCACAAGCGCCCTGCGCCGCCTACGATAAATCGTTGTCTGTACCGACCAAACGAAATAGCAGGCCACCGCGCAGTAGAAAGAGAGAGGGATACTTCCCCTTCTACGACGTTCGTTTTACGCATTTTCGATCAGGGTCACGTGTCCTGACGCGAGTTTAACAATTTTTACCCATTGCGGAAAAAGTGTCCCACGCCGCTAAAGAAGTTTTCACTTCAAAAAAGCTTAAGTAAATAAGATTTAATTAAATTTATTCAACAACATTCAACGATAAGACATCACATACCGTGTAAAGGAAACGCCCGACAAATTTTCTGCTGACTGACAATATTTATATAGTATACATACCTAACTTCTAAACATATTCGTTTCTGACTGGCAACTCCGCCGCCACAGGTCCTGGAGCACGGAGAAACTTCGCCCCATTCCCCCCAAGCGCCTGTGCCATCCCCTCCAGGCAGGACGTATGAAGCGGGCAGGTACAGGCCGGCGCCTTGGCGCCTGTGCCTACTGCGATGACGCGATAGCTAGAGAAATAATAAACGATTAAAATTTATCGATACATACCTACTTATATAAAGAAAAGTAAAGATAGCCTATATATATATATATATATATATATATATATATATATATATATATATATATACGTGAGACAGCTGGTAAAGGTAAAAGGCTTTCTCTCATTTCTGAAAGGGTTATGGAGCGGTAAGTACGCCGCGCTGCTTTAGCGAGTGTTGGCGGGGTTCAAATCTCCTCGAAATAATCTAGTTACTAAAACATGCAGGTTTCTTCACGATAGTTTTCTTCACCGTAGAGCACGTGACTCATTAGCACTTAAAATTAACCCAACCCGCTACTAATAAGTCGTTATTTAATATAATATAATAATCTAAGACCATTTTCTTTTTTTTAATTTTTCGGTTACTCAAAAAACAAAAGGTCTTTAAATTTTTCGGATAAAACGAAGCCTAGATCATTTCTGGCTCATTCTACATTATGAATGCAAAGAAGCTTGCAGTGCACCTGACTTTATGATATAAATAAATGGCAATTGCGGTCTACGGACGTCCCGAGAGGTTTTAGTTTATATAAACAAAACCTCTCACGTCCATCACTCAGATGTGTAGGCTTAGACTATGGACTCATATCTGTGCTTCCATTAAGCGCAATCCTGACACATCTCTGCCGCTTCGTTCACATCGGTTAATTTGGCCTCGTAAAGTCGATAAACATAATTCGAGGTCGGCAGGGCGTTCCTTACCGACTCTGTCACTCACCTCTCCAGTATCCCAAGACAAAGATGCCTTTTTTATAAAATCGATATAAACGAGCACACAAACATATAGTATTTACCAGTTATAAAAATAACATATTAAACGATCATTAAACGATAATGCATAATATTATTAAGTAACATCATGATTATCCCACGCTTTACAACCGTTATTTATTAATATTATAATTCCATGAGTATAGCAACAAGCAAATTATAAGATTCAAACACCATTTGAGTTGATTGCTTCAAGCTCAAAAACGTAGAAACTAATTTTATGATGAATCACACGCACACGGAAGTCTAATTTAAAAATTTACCATAGAAATGACTTCGTAATCCGTTTATTTCTATGGGAAACACATTGTACCATAACTGAGGATTGAATAATTTTGCCGTCATTCTTTTTGGTTACATCGAATTAAAACTTTTAGGATGCAATAGGTTCATAGTCAATGGAGTTTCTTTCACAATGTAGATAGAAACGCTATTAACTATTTTGATGCGACCTTGGTAACGGCGGGGCAGGGGGTGCTAAGAATCTCCGGTGGAGGTTCGGTTACCACTTAAAACGACTTGACCTGGCAACTTACAACACGCGCACCTTGAGGACTGGCGAGAAGATCCTGGAGCTGGAAGAAGAGATACATCACTGATCACTGAGTGATGTACTGCTGGCCGTATGAGAACGCTCAAGGTCGAACCGAAAAGGAGGAACCGATAACCGATGGGGAAGAAAGATTCTTGAGTGGCAGCCTTGTACCGGCAGGCGGAGTGTAGGGCGTGATGCTACTGGATGGAGTTTCGACCTGGTAAGACATGCAGTAAGTAGATGGATGCAAGTAGCTCAGAAGCGTGCTTTATAGCATGACTTGTTAAGGGCTGCAATGATGATGATGATGATGACTACTTCTGGTGACAGAGGGCGGATAAAAAGCTAAGTGTAGCGGAGAAACGCGGCCAGGATTCTTGGAACTACGTATATCGAAAGGATTTTTTGTAATAAATATTGCCAATATCATGATATTATACGTTGTGAGTAATTTTTTTAAGGTTTATCACCATTTATTCACATTCGATTGAAACTTGACTGTAAATACGTCGACTGAGAATCACAAAACTTTCTTAATCCATAACAACTCGTTGATTTGTTAATTCAATCAAATCGGTTCCCGCACACAGAAAGCTGTATCGGGCGTTAGCTTGAGCGTTTCCGACAATCTAGTAAAGTTCGTTGCACATGTTTGACCAATTTAACCTCAACCTCATTATAAGTTGAGGTTAGTACTTACTTACCATTAAAACTTTCTAAATACCGTTATTGAAGTCCACTGCTGAACATAGAACCCCCCATAAACTGGCTCATAGCCCCCTATGAGGCAATTTATTATGTACGTACATTTGATATTTGCCATAGTTGCCACGCTTGGCAAGTGGGTTGGCAACCGCAGTTTTTAAGCTATTGCATAGCTTCTATCGCGGGCCTTGAGCGCGGGGACCGAATCCAGAAATTCCGTAACGAAAAAAACCTCACGCTCCCCACTCCGACGGGCACGGAGGTGTGGCGTTGAAAGCCGTGCATCGTCTAACGTCGTTTCAGTTCGGCAGACTTCGGCACTCGGCAGACTTCGGCACGGTGTTTGTGTGCGTGCGACTAGTCGTATGCGTGTACACTAGCTGCTAACTGAATGATAAAAATTCCTGAATAACCTACATGTATTGTAAGATATTAAAAATATTTTAAACAATATTAACTTCTCATTTATACAATAAGAGAAAAAGAATTGTTTTCTTATCGGTCACCACGCTCAAAAAGTGTAACTTGATTTAATATCAAAGACTTAACTGCATAAATAAAATAAATAATTAATTATAATTGCATAAGTTGATAAAAAATGCTATGCAATAGCCTTACCGCGGCAGTCACCGAGTGCCACACGTATTTTTGTACTTTTAGTCGTTATCAGGAAGACGCTACTGCCCATCTAATGATAAGTTTCCTTCTATCGCCTCTTACGGCACCTTTGGAATGATGTGAGGTAGTGGATATTCTAACACAGTCACTACACGGTCTTATACTTACACTGTTTAGTACCTACAGCTTAATATAATTTATAATTTTGTTACAAGGAATGTTCGTTAGCTCCGAATTCTTGGCAATACTTATGCCCAGAAGTGGACTTAAAAGGCCGGGGATGATGTTGAATGATTTCGTAACTTTTTCGTTTATTGTCGCGGTGTTTACATTTCCATCCAGTTAGAATCTGAGTATCTTCAAGGCAAGAATGAAAAGACTTTTGTAATATTAGGACAGTGAAATTTATAATGATTTCTTATATTTACGCGAACACTACACATTGAAATAATACTAGTTTTTACGGAATTTATCGCGTGTATTTAACTTTTTTAATTACCCGACGTTTCGAACGCTTTACAGCACTCATGGTCACGGGCAGGACTGAGATGTTCAACGTCCATATGTCATAGTTAACCGCGGTTACCATAGATTAAATTTTTTTTATTTACTGCATAGATCGGAACAAAAGTAAAAAATTTTAATCTATGGTAACCGCGGTTAACTATGACATATGGACGTTGAACATCTCAGTCCTGCTCGTGACCATGAGTGCTGTAAAGCGTTCGAAACGTCGGGTAATTAAAAAGTTAAATACACGCGATAAATTCCGTAAAAACTAGTATTCTTTCAGTGAAATTTATCTAAGGCTTTAGCACCACTTACCACCAGGTGGAATTGTATTAAGCACTGCTTTATGAAATAAATTATCCAACCGCCAACCTCATCTGCACTGCACTGTTATTTTAGGCTGGTATTACGTGCAACCGAAGGACGATCCATTCCTGTTGGCGCCACAATACATTTGCAGTGTTGCTCTACCTCGCATAAAATTGAGCATATCTGCCAGATAATTGAAAGAAAGGAAAAAATCGAAACATAATAATAATGGTACAATTTAGTTTTTTGCATATGAGAACACATCACTGCATTTCGTCCCGTAGTTTTTAGGAAAGGTCAAAAAGACCTTGTAGATACGATATATCATCACGTAGGTATATGCCCGATATAAAATATGCCGGTCAGTTTTCAAATTGCGATATACTGCGATCGCCAATTCTATAAAATAATTTTCCTTTTTGGGAGCGTACTATATTCAGCGGTGTACTTGTAAGGGGCTGCTATGATGACGATAATAACGATAGCTATTTTACAACGGAGAGAGACCCATGTACAGCAGTGAACTGTTAAATAGCTGATAAGGAATAAAAACTGTGTTTAGCTTTCCCGTGTTTAGTTTGTTGAATTGAATCGTTATTAGACATTGTTGACAGAGCGTGTCGATAAAGAATTTAAAAAAAATCGTTAGCAGGAGTTCGCTCGTCATCTTATTACACCTATTCACCGGAAAGATGATGATTCAGGTGGATGAAAAAGGGGTTACTTTTTCATCCACCTGAATCATCATACTGATACTTGATACCATCCCATAGGTGTAGTAGTTGGGGCCAGGGAGACTGAAACAGCAGATGGATTGCAGCGTCTTCCTGAAAACTAGTTGTTTTAATAATTTGAAAATAAAACTGAAAAAAAATTTAACCTACGAACCAATTTGAGGCAGAGATTTTTAATAGGCTGTAAACATCATGATAGAACTTATTTATACTAAAAATAAATCTGGTGAAATGTTTTCGTAGTGTAAACACAGCCTAGTACATAAAACGTCCATCATTGCTGTATTTATCCGAAACGAGCCTTTGAATTTAATGTTATGACGATAAACACAGCGTAAAGCGTCGTTGTAGTGAGTGTGAACGCGTCTTGAATCTCTCGAGTGTTGCAGCACTGATTGCGACCACTTACATTTAGATATTTGCTTTTCTTTCACGCAGAATAGCATCGTCTACAGTTGTTTTGATAGTAAACATAAGTGGCGGAAATTGTTAGTTATTTCATTACTCATTTTTCACTATACTCCAGCGAGCATTTAAGATGTATTATATAAGTAGCTAACGGGTCGAACAGACGTAATCCTGCCCTGAAAATAAAATAAAATCCTAGAACCCGATTACAGCGCCATCTATAGGTTCCAAAATTTAATCTAAATCAGTCCTGCTGTTTAGGTGTACAGTGACAAACACACATACACATAGAAAAATTATATTATGTATAAAAATATAGTATAAACTTTATTATATCGTTGGTATCTGGATAACTTCAAGTTTTTAACTTACTGT